GCAATTGCATTTGTTTTGCTCCTTTTCATTTCCCGGCGCGACGCGACGCGGCCGCGCTTCGTTTTGCCAGCAATTTCGTTGTTGTCGGCGCGCGGCGCGCGACATCAAACGGATTTTCGAAAGCCGAGTCACTCGCATAAAAATTTATTTCGATGTCGGAAAGTGAATATGCTCGATTCGTCAGTGTCTCGTCGCGACAACGCAAGAGAATAAACTACATTTGCGCCTCGTATTCAATCCAAAAATCAAAACGCGAACAATGTAAATATTCCTACAAATTCCAAACCGGATGTTACCGGTTCCTCCATCTTGTCGACGTTCATTTATTATGAAAGTGGCGGGCAAATAAACCCGATCGTCGCCGCCGCCCTCACGTCCCGCACTTTACGATCGGCACGTAGCGGTACCCAGGTGCAAACCGATACTCGATTCATAATGCAGTGTGCACCGCGCCGCACGGTGGAGAAAACGACCGGCGGAAAGAACGCAGTTCCGTGTAGCCACAGCCAGCCGGGGCGATATCGAAACGATCTCGGTGACAGTGTGCGGTCGCCGGAGGTTTGCGGTTCTGCGTCCCGCAGGTCGTCTCCTGGTCGTGTGATTTGCGTCCGCGATTTGCTACCACCTCGGGTGCCGCATGTTTCCGGAAACGGTAGAAACGTGGTTAAGCCGGTTAAGCGCAACACTTCAACTTAATATACCTACACCGCAAAAAAAAAACCGGAAATGCAAAAGTAATCTATGTGCGTATTTTTATTTGCGCGCACGCATTCATCCAATTCACTGAATGTCCTTGCTTTGCACGCATGAATCATCGAGACATTTAAGACTCCCTCTGGTCCCGCGGGAAGCGTTCCTGCAGCCAGCCTCCCAATCACTTATTACGCCCGGTAAGGAAAGTAAGCGTGCACTGAGCGAATACGAGTACCGGTACGCGTAGGTACGCTGGACGCATCCACCCCTAAGCTAGTTGGTCCTTTGCAGGTATAAGGAGTGGTAGTGGTGGTGGTGGTGGCGGCGTTTTACGACGGTTAAATTGCCGCCGCTGCCGATGTTGCAGGCCCGCAATTTCGTTTGCCTCTCTCCGGCGGGCGAACGGCGGGCTAAAGAGCTCAAGAACTCGAGGGTAGTTTACTAAATAAAATGTTGCCCCGCGTTGTAGGTATAGTACTCTAGGCAAAGAAGAAGGAGAAGAGGATAATAGCAAGCAAATGAACCGCACGCGTGCACGCGCACGACAATGTAATAGAGTCTCAAGCACAAACAACTCACCTATAGTACTCTTGACTTTTAATAACCAGTTTGCAAAAAAAAGGCAAAGGCGTATATTATCCAACTAGTGTAAATTTTAGGTTGTGCACGAAAATACTAACCTAAAATTTGAGATTCTACGAGTACTAATGAAAACAATAACAAAACTAGAAATACAACAATACTCAAAGATAAACAAAAACAAAGCAGGAAATAACTATGCTTATTCTATTCCATAGTCTAGATTGTAGCCAATCAACTGCTGAAGAGGGGAAAATAATCTCCGCGAGCGCAAACCAACGAAATTGAAATAATCACCCCGGCTTGATTTGCGATGCGCACTCCAGTCGCCTTTAAGGACTCCATGACCTCGCCACTACCACCCACGCGCGCGCGGTGGCAAACTGTCGACCATTATGGTGATTCGATTTCGGAGCGCTCCAGTAATTGCGGTTTGGCGTGCAAGTAAACACTTACACACACATGCGGGGCGCACGGATAGTTGACGCCGAGGTGCGTCGAGTGTCAGACCATTAGTCGTCGAACCGACAATTTCACTTTAACTCGTTGATTCGTCAATTCCGTCCATTCCGTGAACGAGGAGAGGAGAGTCAATCAATTCGAAGATATCCGCTCTTCGATTTAATAACCGCGACTGCACACGTCACTTCGGAGGCTTTCATTCCCCCTATAGTGTGAACGGCCGGTCGGAGCTTTCGAGCGGTAATTGGTTTGCTTAAACAAAAACACGTTTCGGATGGCAGGCCCACCGCCGCCGCCGATATCGTGCTGATATAATGATTGCGCGATCCCGAGAGCTTTCACATTCAACGCATTCAAGATCGAGGGTGTAATTTGTCGCGTTTGATAGCTTCCATAGACCAGAGAAGAGAAGAAAAAAAGCACACACGCGAGTTAAATGCAAATTATTATTCCCTAGTTGTATAATGTGCAGCTGAATGTTTTCTTCTTCGTTTGCAGTTTAATTTTTTTTACGTTTTCATTAAACAGTCAAGTAGGAAAAAAAGCGCTCAACATTACAAAATATAATTCAACCCGCTTGGCTGGTTGGCGCTGGCGCTCGTCCTGAGGGCAAATTGCAATCGATTTGTAGCATTCATTGCAGTCGAGCGTAACGGAACGCACCGCCAGAGCGATTATCACTGACGTTGACGAAGAGACAACAGGCTGTCGACTAATTGCGCTTCTTTTGCGCGCCGTGCACCCCGTTCTTTCACCAAAATCTATTACCCCGCAATTACAGCGGCATGTCGTGCGTAAACGCGTAAAACAACACAAAATGCTTTTAAAAACATAACATAATTCGATCAAAACACTGCGCGCGTATACTACTCGCGTATCGATACAACATTTTTTATTGTTGTTTGTTAATTCCTAACCGGATTGCACACATATTTCGCAAACGCAACGCGTGCGGCGGTGCGCAAAATTGTGATGCGCTGCGAAGGGCAAACAACACGTGAATAATTGGCCATTAAAGCATTCATAAGCGTCGATCGCGCCCATTATTAAACACAATCAAAATGTAAAACAGCGGAACGCATTTGCCACAGTTTCGATTGGCATGGCCGGCGATTGGCTCACAGCATTATTTATTTAATATCAACAAATGTGTAATGAACGCAGGAGAGCCATGCAGTCGTAATTTATTCACAGCTGCTTTTGAGTTGTGTCCAATGCACTCGGCAAGTTTTAAGCATTACTAAATTAAATTAATTATAGTATGTGAAGATGTACACATCGCCAACAATTGAAAATCTATAATATTAAAATGAATGGTAAAATCTGTTGGTAAGCGCATCATTCAACAACGCCTTGACCAATTTGGCCAATTCTTTTTTTAAAATGTTCGTTAAATTCCAAGGATGGTTTTTACAGCGAGAAAAATTCGAATAATTTCCGGGAAAACCTTTAAAACAGCCTTTTACTATAAGATAAAAATAGGCATTGAGATTCAATCGTAGTTATAGTTAAATAGTTCAATCCGAGATGGCGCGCTGAAGTGCATTATCAGCAATTCTTTATATAATTAATTTTTTTTTTAAATAAAATTACCAATCTTATTGATTGAATTGACACATACTATGTCTAGAACAAGAGAGTAAAAACGAATCACATTTTTATTAAACACTACCGAGACAAAGTCGCAGCAAAAGCTAGTTATCGAGATTAATAATAATAAACAAAACAGTTAGTTTTGACGCTAAGCGACTAGAGATATCTCGACAATTCTTCTATTTCTATGCTTGATACATTTCCATAATAAATGCATGCGCCAATTCGCATGCACATGACCAGCGATAGCGAGCAAATTGATTAACGCGGCACCGACCTACCCATGCCCACTCGTTTTATTTAGAAAATATGTAAATACGAGTCATGCGAATCCCACAGACCTACACTTCCAGTTATCTTGACATAATTAACTAATCACATGCAAGAAATGACGAATTTTTCTATTTTATTAAAGATCGTTTGTCTTTTTCGGTATTATTTTTGGAAAGTCATTGGGTAATTCAACACTCTCGCAGCTGCAGGTCTTTGCGGATTACATTTACGTGTAACTTTAATTCCGCCAACGTGGGCGGCAGCGAAGAAACCGTTGCACCGTTAGTGGAACCTGCTGCTGCTGCTCGATTTGCATCTCGCGCAAACTCGCGCTAATCGCGATTCGAATTGAATTGTAAATCCTCGCGCGAATCTCTTCTTCATCTCAAATGATCTACAGATCTCTACAAACTACACTCCTTGACTACGAGAACATTCCAAAGAGCGACTTGTTTTTATCCAAGTGTATGTCAATTGCATATCAATTGATACATCTCTAAATCACCGTTAATCATTAGCATGAGCTTGTGGACCTTTGTGTCACAATGTCGATTGTCGACTACACATGTGCTCTTGTTGTCGAGAGCTTCAAACCCAATTGTCTAACCACTTCGGAATTGTAACAATGTGTATAGAATGTGTATTGAAATTAAGTCTACTAGTATTCTATTCATGCAAATGCAAAATAATTCGACTTAAAAATCAAATTTTCATCGTATTATAAATCATCTCCATGTCGCGCGGATAACGCTGTCGCAATTTTAATTAAAAAATTAAGCAGGCGAAGCAGGCAGGCAAAGCAGACATACGTCCTATCATATTCCGGCGCGAGTGTCCGAGCAAAACGCTTAAAATACGTTTTCTATTTGAACGTCCGACTCGTCCTGTTCGTCGGGCGCTCGTCCTGCCGGCCGGCGTCGTGTAATCCTCATGTAATATTGAACGTGCTCGACTGCTCGTCCGTATGTTCCACGAGGCCACACTCAAACACGACGCTTTTTGCAGTTTGCAGCAAAGCGTGTTTCTTTTTTTCTCTTGTGTCCACCACGTTCATGTCTTAATTGATTCGGGCGCTCGTTTTTTTCCCCCGGACCATTCCGCATCGTTTTGCGGGGTTTTTCTTTCTTAAGCTATTTGTTTTGTTTACAACTTGATGGACAATAGACTGCGCAATCAATGACACACTGGCCTCGGCTCGCATCTGCATTTATTACTATGCAGTTATGTTTACATCGCGCTGGGAAGCAATAGATCTTTCACAAGCGAGCAGGCAAAGAGGAGAAAGAAATGCGCGAGCGCGCCGCCGCACGCGGCCTCAGCAGCGTAATCGCATCTCGGTGAAGGGAATGCCGCGCAAAAATCGCCAACAGGTAGGTGAACACAAAACACCTTTGCACACGCAATTGCGCCGGCATATAAAGCCGACGACGGCTCTCTGGCGGGCATTTTGCTTGTAGTAGTGGCATGAATCTAACACCAATCACGGTAATCACATTCATCAACACGCTAATTACCGAATTACACAAATTAAACGCTACGAACACAAATTAAATCATTTGTTGTTATTAGTCAAATAGACCGCTGGTGTGTGCATGAGCGAGTGAGTGTGAGTGTGGCAGTGTGTTGAAATGTAAAAAGTTTGTGATGATAAATTCCAATTCCAACGTAAAGTTGTTCGAGCATAGTTCAGTTCGAGCAAGTTTTAAAGCGTGCAAATTATAACATCGCACACCGCGTGCGCAAAAAAAGTTCGAATTTGAATAAATTTAAATTCTTTTACCTTTGTGGAAACATTTGTTACACTTACACTGCTAAAACCAGATATTACACGCCTTTGACTCTCCCAACTCTTCCGCATCTGAAACAGAAAATATAAAAATGAAAAACGATCCGATTTGAAAAAATATCTATTCAAATTTATTTCTCAACTTGCGAGTTAAACACCAAAAGTGATTTATAAATCGTAGTCAGTCATTTATAATGGTAACACGTGGACTAAACGATTGGAATAATAAACTTGTAACAATAGATTTAAAAAATTTATACGTATTGAGCAAGAAAACACCTTGAATTCAATAATAACCTTGGAATAAGACAACAAATGTTTAGCAAAAGTTTAACTTCTGTAATAATTTGTTTCTAGACATGTTAAAACTTCAAAAAATGTTATGGATGATGATGATAGTGTGGTGTGGTGTAGGGGCGGCAAGAGCGCCAAAAATATACAACGCACTAATCACATCCGATGAAAATCTATCGCCTAGCCAAGCTTTTCCGATAATAGAGCCTGTTTTACAAACAACAGCTCTGGGTGTTGCACCACCACTGTTTCAACCACTTGTAGTACATCAAACGCAACATAATCAACAAAATCAACAACAATCAAATGTAAGTTTATTTAAACTGTAAAATAAAATTAAAATTTTCATTTTTTTAATTTTTAGGTTAATTCTAATCCTGGTCCAGCAAATGTACAAAAAATACCATCTGGACAACCACAATTAGCATATCATGATGCATATTCGTTATATCCAGTATCCTATGATCCATATTTACAATATGGTTACCATCAAAATTATGTCTATTCACCGCCATTGCCATATTATCAACAACCCGTTTATATTGATTACGCACATCAAACAAATTACGCCAACGCACCTCAAAAACAAGAAAAACCGGAAATTGTACAAGAAAATCAACGACCGGTTGTACCAGTGCTGCCACCACAAGTACCAACAGCATCCGCAGCGCCCCCACATGTCAATTTTAAGAAAAACCCAGAAATTCCGGATGTTATCCCACCGCTACCATTCACATTGCGCAAGGAAACGAAACAAAAAATGAATCAATTGCAATGATTTATATGTCTATTGTTATTTTTATTTATTTTATCTGCAACATACAATTATCTAAGTTATTAGTGAACAATAAAAACTGATTAATAATAAATCATAATAATTTTGCTTTTGTTACGGCGATAATTGCTGCAAATCTTTGCCGAAAATCTGCACAAAGAACGCAAATCCTTTACCATATTTTGTAATCACGCCGATTTCTACGTAGTTATATCCAACACCACCTCCGGCGTATGATGGATACGCCCCGATACCAGGAGCCTCGTCATAGACATTCACACAGGATATTACAACATTTTTATCGGTTGCTACGTTGAACTTTAAGTAAAAATAATTGAATAATAGTTTTGTAATAAAAATAGAAAAATCAGTGACTTACTCTCATAACCGCTGATAAATGTGAGTTCCCATCGTTATTTACGACAATTTTCTGTGCGTGTAACTCATTTTCGTTTTCCATACACCGTCCGATAAAGAGATTGTGAGGTTTTTCAATAACTTGCACATTAACTACATAAATAATAAAATAATTTCTTTTTGTAAAATTAATACATTTAGCGATTTATCTTACTAAAAGTATCCCGATATGGTTTTAATAAAGTATCCGACCCATTCGAGAATTTAATTTCACCAGTTTCGTTATCTTGAGACGTTACCAAAGTCCTAAAAAAGCTGTCTTTGGCAGGGGTAACTTCCAAACACAAAATAAGTGCCCAAACACACCAAACAACTAAAATTTGTAACTTTTTCATTGTTTTGACTTAAGTCACCAACCGCAAGTGAACGAATGACCAGTGAAAAACATTTCCAAGTGATGTGTGTACTCCGTGTGACATTTTAACCTTTCACACAAAACGCTCTATTGAATGCAGTTTAATCTGAATTCTATTCAAGTAAACACGCGTAAAATGGGACAGACAAAGAGGAAGAAGAAATGAACCACACATTGTATCAATCTTATCAGTATCATTAATTACACACACATTACTCAATCAGTAGTTACAGAATATTTCGAGATTCATAGGAAGTAGACTTATGCGGATTCAATGGTAACTGTGTCATCATCATCCGACAAATTCACACTGTCATTTTGAATATTTTCAATGGTATCTTGTGGGTTTTCAGTTGGGATATCAGTTGGAACTTGTGTGGGTGGATGACTTTCAGTTGCAATGGAATCTGGCACATTGGGAACACTTTCAACTGGTGTAACGGGAGCAATTGGTGCAGGAACATTTACAGCGTCTAAAAATGGTACGCCAGCAAACTGATGACCGCCCACGAAGGAAACACTTGGTGTATAATAATTGACAACTGGTGAAGCTACATGAAACTGATATGGATAGCCAGAGTAACCAGAATATCCAATTGTTTGCGCAAACGGAGAGTAAACGTGAGCTATTTGAGGCACTGGCGAAACATCAAATGTTCCCAATATTCCATGATAGGTACTCCTTGTTCCAGGAACAAAATGTTGAGGAACTGGTACTGATCCGACCGAAAGCAACGCAGAAATAAGAACTACAACGCTCTGAACACACAAAAAACAATTACACTTAACTTAAATCAATTAAAATTTAAAATCACACACTACCTTCATGATTATTAGAAATCTATTCAATTCAAAAGAGGTCTGAAAATTTGTGACGCTATTAATTTCGGCACTCGGCCTTATATACTACCGGGAAGAACAAGTCTGAAGTCTTTTTTTGTTGCAAACCCCTCTTTCTTTGATTTAAACTCAGGTCGTTTTCAGTGTTTGAACTGGAGGCACGATTGGTATGCGTGACATATACACACGCGTCACATAATTGTTTCATTCACACCATTCACACAGCGCATAATTATTAGTATGCTCGCGCTAGTTATATTTGTGGGCTGGTTTTCTAACCAGCATGTTTTTCGGAGGAGTCTTCGGCCGCTATTGAACTTTAAAATGTGACAATTTAATCCCGAGCAAAACAAAATTGATATTTAACTATACCTACACAAAAATAACTCCACAACATTAAAGGAGTTCCAGTACTTATTTCCGTAAATAATAAATTAATTTCGCAGTGACACGAATTGTATCAACTTACGCCCTTTTCTAAATATGATAAAAACGCGTACATAAATAAGCCGGCGGTCATTCCGGACGTTTGGACTTGAGCCGGCAGGCTCAAGCACCAGATGGACGCATGAAGCGCCGTTTCAGAAAGAAGAAGAAACGCACAAAGCAAGGCAAGCGCGCAGTATTTACGATGACATTTTGTCACGCAAAAGTTAATGATTTATGTATGTGCAAGCGCGTCGGATTTACCGCGTAAATTCCTAAACACACACACACAGATAGAAATAAATATCCGAAACAATCGCATCAAATAAATCGTAAATAAATTCAAACTGAATATGTTTTGTTCGAATGTTGCAAAACCAACATGTCCGAAACTCGCGCGACTAATCCCAAGTCACCAGAATTGAACCCGGCAAACAGATTTGTTCCGGCTTCGAGAAGCTGAGGCGGCGGCGGCGGCGGCGTGCGTTATGTCCGCCGTGTGTGATTCGCCAATAAATCGACGGTGTTATTACATCCACATCCGACGGCTACGTGCGCGTAATTTTAAACAGAACGATTTTCCGCTCGAATGAAAACTGCCACCGACTGCCACCGCCATTGGGCACTACTCCAATGGTCAAGAACGTACATTGCTCTTCAAAAATTAAAAAAAAAAACCACGACCTTCGAGAAAAAATTACTCTAGTAAAACAACAACAAAATTATGTAAATGTCAATGCTACAATCACATTTTAAACGTAAAATCAAATGTGACGTAAAACAATCTAAATTGCTATTTATAGATTGATTATAAAACAATTCCAATGCAAACATTATTCTACTCGGCATGAGATTTAATCACGACTGAAATCAGTATGAATATGGTAGCTATTTTTTTAAATAAATTATGAGGCTATAAATTGCTATGCGGTTAATGACGGGCTCGATGGTTTCGATGATCATCGGGCGTGTCAGAACGCTGCGTAATTGATTGTGAATGATTCGAGCGTTGTTATTCCATTACCAAACGATTTATATTCCGTAATTGCCACAGCGCGATACAAAAAAGCGTCGCAGTTCTTTAACCACATATAAATATAGATTTATTCACATTCTACCAGCTCTCCTATAACATGTGATTACAATTCAATCGCTTCTCAATCTGATATAGTTATAAATTTATAAATTCCAGCGTCATTAGCATTTCGTTCGGACGACGACATTTTGAAAACATGTGTCGGCTGTGTTTAGAATAGAATAGATGAGAATATTAACAAGAGGCTTACAAGATGACAAACATGGCTATAAATCATTTGTTATCGATAGTAATATCTTTTTGTAAATTAATTGTTTTATAATTGTGATATTAACATTTATGGAAATTGAGTGTGTGGAAAATGTCATTCAAAGTATAAATTAATTTTTTTGTTGGTGAAACTTAGAAGATCATAGAAAATAACAAACTTGACTTTTATGTACCTACATTTATATAAATTCGTAATGTTGTTTCAATCTACAGTTAAATCGTAAATATAAGATAGCCAATGAAAATGATTTTTTTTATCTTATCTTATAAAGTATTTTCTGAAGTTTCATATTCTTCAATTTTTAGTCGATATCGCTTTTAGCTTGCAAGATATTTGTTACCAAAAACTTTTTTCTTGAGAATCAACTCCTTCACCCTTTTATGCTCTGAATAAAAGTCACTTGTACCGCTCCCCTCATACTCGTTCAATGCCTTGATTGCGAGTCAATTATGAAGTAACCTTCGTACGGTGCCCTGAATAAGATTTCCCGTAGATAAAGAATCTTCAAACCGTTCCTCTCTATCGCCTTTAGTTTGCGAGATAATCGTAATCGAAATATTAATTTCTATTTTTCGCATGCTAGCGACATCGCTGGGTTTGCTAAAGAGTTATATTTAAGTATGATGTACCCAATGCGTGATTCCTCGTGCACGGCACGCAGATTCACTATCGATACAAACAACTAAACGATACGAACGCAATCTGCATAAACATTGTGCATACTAAGAAACCTTCTAACATGTGCCACTTGTTATAAATTTAAACAAATATAAAGTAGTGCAACTAGGATAACCGCATTCATTGCCTTTATTGCAACATGCAACGCTATAAAGTATTACAAGTTAACGCCCAAATCCGAACCAAAGCAAATTTAAATAATTCATTATCTATTCCCCATTTTCATATGTTTTTGTTTTGAAATTTTGAATTTGTATTAATGAGACGAATTTTTAAATAAATTCTGTGATAACTATTAAAATTAAAACAGTTTACAGCTAGAAATAATGAAATCAAATATAACGCAAGTCAAAATATTGACTTACGAACACACAATGCACTATCAACATCACAACACCACAAATTCATGGAACTAACAAAAGGTAAATACGCCGCATCAGGTGATACTGAGCCTGTTCAACTTTAATTTTTGCAAGTCTACGGAACTACAGTCGCCATCTCGCGACATAAATAAACAACTCCTTTATAAGTCATTGATGCGTAAAAGATTAACTATACAATCGCATGTAGATAAACATTCTATTAATAACTATGTTGTGAGTTGTTCAACTAAAACAAACACGCAATGTATCCTCGTTCCCACATTTTTCCCTATTAAACAATAAACTCCTAAACAGCACGATTGCATTTGAATTGCGTTTAATCCACGCAAAGTTTATTAAAGTTGATGTCATAACAGCCGTAACAGAAGTGATAAAGCTTTATTGCCATTATGCAAGTGGCGATAACCGAGCGAGAACTGGCGCATCAAGACGGACGTTCTCAAAGTTCACTCGCCGGCCACGAGCGAAGAAAACCATCCAAACACGTTTCAATTCCATCAGAAACAAGTAGGAACTAATTAAATGATGACTTATTGTCCGTGCACGGGCGAATACCAAACATGCGTGCGTTTATTCATCAAGCACGGAATTTCCAAACAAGAAAAGCAAAAAATGAGGAAGTTTACGCGTGGAATTTGCGTCGAATGTTGCGCTAATCAAGTTTTGTAATCAACTGATCAGTCCACGAGTGTGTTTTTGCTCTCTAGAGACGCAAAGTAGGGAAAGTCGGCCTTCGACCACGCCGCACATGGCATCGACACGATTTTCATACCAGAGAGCGACATTTTGTTGTATACATGCACGACTTGCATTCGCGTTGCTCGCTGGGGGCCGGTTTGTTGTGGGTCGTGCGAGAACCGAGGCCGGTTACTTACCGTGCTACCAGTTTAAGCGCGTCAGGCAATAATAACGCGCGCCACGACTGCGCCCAGAAAATAAACAAAGACAGAGCACCAAGGCGCAAATACCCAAGACTTTGGATTTAGAAAAGAAGGGAACCAAAACAGAGAACAGCTGCTTGCGTGCTGTTTCAGTTCGGGTCTCAGCGTCGTCGTCGTGCATTCAGCAGTAGTCGAAGTTTACTTTGCCAGAGTTCTTGTGACTTCTTGAGTTTGTGCTGCGGTGTGGTGTCAAGTGCCATCCAGCGTCTTCAACTGTTGACCAACATTCGAATTCTCAACTAACAAGTTAACTACAGCGAATCACAGAAGGTGTCAAACGTGTGTGGTTCGTATGTGCATAGTCTATTTGTGGTTCTAAACATCAACAACACAGCAAACGTGAGTTGAACATTTATTTTTAGACGTTAACGCGTATATAAATTAATTCTGCTTAAATGTGTACTTTGTATTCGGTGCGTTTGTGTCTAGACTTTGTTTCCGACTTAAGTGACTAAGTCCAAACTAAAGTCGCAATTTATTTGACTTTTATCACGGCGCGCATTTATCACATTCGTTCCATTTTGCAGCGCATTGTAACAGAGATAGTGCGGCGCCGTGGAAGGTAAACAATGAGTCTCTTCAGCGCTCTATTCGGCCACATTCAAAACAAGTTCGGCGAGGGTAGCGCGCTGCGTACGCCCGCACAGCGGCCCTTCCAACCCACGCCCGGTGCGCATCGTCCCAACGAAAAAGAAAGCGAGACCTACTTTTGGATTATGTAAGTATAAAAAAAAAACTACACGTGCATTTGCAATGCTTGAAAAGTTTTACTTTTTACTTCTTAGTCTACGTCCTTCGTGATTACATATTTTCTATCGTGCGACACACTCGAACGCTTTTTGCATACACGCATAATCACACACTTGAATTTTGTACTCGTGAAGCAATTCACTTGGAATTTCGCATTATAAATCATTGATAAGTAATTATAAATAAAAATAATTATTATCTGTAAAATTGGTTAATTAAGTGGTACTTAAGTGTTTAAAATTACATTTTTGCCCCGCCTACTTGATAGAATCCTCACTATTATACTACAAGTTGCATAAGCTTCAAGCAAAGTTAATTATCTAAAGTTTAAAACGTTTTAAACAAACATTTCCAACCGGCCTTCGAGTTCCACCGGCCAATACAAAAACGAGAAACCAGCCGATTGCACACACTCCACGTCCAAACATTGGCAAATCATTTTAGTGGCCGGCAGACTCGCATCGCGACGCAGAACATAATCAACATTTAACTATTGAACAATTACGCTGCGACAGTAGTCAACTCAGCGCCGAAATCAAACTCATCGTGCGCGTTAAAAATTTACTCACAGTTGCACATTTGCAGAGAGTGTGTTTGCGGCTTCTGGCTGTTCATTAAATTAAGAACACAACGCCGCACGCCTCTCGCACAGTTCCGCATTAAAGCGGCGAAACAATGGCGTGCGCGCGAAATGATCAACAAAAGCGCGCAAAATAGAACAACTCCGGGCGAGAGGAGAGTGTGTGATTATTACGCATGAAGTGTTAATTAAAAAAAGGCGTCGGTTGCGAGTGCATAAATATATATGTATACACATCGACGAAACGAGAGTACTTTGCGTGCGTGTGTGAGGTGCAAAAGTGTAAGTGCAAAGTTTTCACACTGAGCTTTCAATTTTATTTTCAAACTTCATCGCAATGCGATGTGCGCACGGTTTGTGCAACAGCGCGCTAATACAATGCTTTATTAAATTCCATGCATGTGCGATTAGTCTTTTGTTTACTTTGAGTTTCAAAATAGTTTCAGTGTTCATTTTCATACAGATTTAATTAACATTACTGGAAAAACATTTTGAATTATTTTTTATTGTGATATTTAGGTTTGTAATCTTTAAAAACATCACAATGATAAGAAAAAAACACAAATATTGTACGTTCGCGTTTGTATCGCGGCAGGTGTATAAACAAAGTATTTTATCAGAATTTAATGAAAATAAGTGCATCGTAGCGCCATCTAGGTTTAAACCCAAGAGTTGTATTTTAGTCAAATGTATACATCACTACCGCCAATAAACAACTTCACGCATTAAACAAGCAATATTAAATGCAAATAAGTGCATCGTAGCGCCATCTAGGTTTATACCCAAGAGTTATATTTCAGTCTCTTATGCACATTACTACCACCAATCAACAACTTCACGCATCAAACAAGCAATATTAAATGCAAATAATATTTTTAACAAAAAATTAATGAATTTTTATCATTTTCAGGTGGAGATGGTAACAATTGATGAGACTGACTCAAGATAACACCACCGACGCCATCGCAACATCTCACAAATGATTCTTCTGATACTCTTTGCGCTTTTCCTAGTGCTCTGCACCCTCATTTCTTAATAGCTGCGGAAGTATGCTTCTCATGCCTGCTACAATTATTTCTCCGGCGCGTCTGCTCAATCCGATTCGAGTCCGTTTAGATTTAGATATAAATAGGTATAAGTTCTATTAATAATTAAGTTACCTATATCATTTTATACTATATAATTTACATTCATATATTATTAGATTTATTAAACAATCAATGCAATGGTAAAGGTAAGAGGAGATTGTGCATCCGAAATACCGACGTCTGTGATGATTTTTCATACAAAAAAATCGCAATGCACACCTGATACAAGATGTAAACGCAAAAGAAACGCATTTAACACTAGTCATGGCACTTTTTGCAGCCTTGGATCAGCTCAACTCAAGGCGCTTCACGTTCATTAACATTTAATTCATCATTCATGGTCATTAAAGCACTTATTGCAGCAAATATAGCTATAAAGTATTTTTATATTGGAATATTGTACGAATAAAGCACATTATTACTTTTATTAAACTTATTAAATCTTTATTTCAATTTTAAAAACCATATTTAGCCTGTGTTTGTTTTCTAGAATATTTATTAGAAGCCCATCTATTTTTCAACTCTTGTTCATTTGCCTTCCCCTAAAAATCACCGAAAATAAACTCCAATTTTTTTTTAAATTTAATTAAAATCATCATTACCTGTTGAGCTAGGTAAGTAATATGATGTTTCCTTTTACTCATAGCACTTATTGGCTCTCCTTCAGCTGCTGAAAGTCTTTCTACTTCTGGATCTGTCAGGGCTTTAGCTCTTATGATATCTTCATCTGTCATTACTTCCTCTTCATTTATATCAATGAATTTAATAGGAATTTTAGAGGAACCAACTAATTTTTTTAACTAAAATTATGTTTAATAATATATAAATCTATATTGAAATAAATAAGTAAAATATTAATCCTTACTGCTTCATTGTCTAAACCTTCATATGGCTTAGCAGGTTCAGGTGCAGATACAATTTCTGCTTGAATATTTTGTTCACTGTGATCAAACACTGGCACAATTGGCTCTGGTTTAGGTTTTCTGCCACAGACAGCTTTCCATGCATTCACATCAAACTCCTCTACTTTAAAATCATCATCTTCATCATCAGAAGTGACATTTTTACCTTGTGCAGTTGTATTTTGTGCTTTTGTTTTGACATTTCTTGGTATTAAATTATTTTTAGCATTTTTGGCAACTGAATTAGGTATTAAAGTCTTTGTTGTGACTGTTGCAATCTTGGGTGGTGGTAATATTGAAAATAAACCACTGGATTTCTACAAAATTATTATTTTAAGTTGATTTATCAATAAGAATGTATTGAATTTAACCTACTGAGACAATTTTTTGTATTTTATCTTCTGGTTCATCTTCTTCATCACTATCAAAGTCTTTCAAAGATGGTGCGATTATTCTAACAGGTTTTTCACTGGTTTTCAGTGGGTTGTTCTTTTTTCAACAGAAACTCATCGTTTTCTTCTGTGATATCCACAAACTGATTGACTGTTTTTGGTTGAGGTAAAGTTGTGAATCATTCTGGATTTTCAGTGGATATTACAGGCTTTTCGATTATTTCAACACCACCAGAAGGTAAATCGTCTTCATCATCAGTTATGTTATCACTATCACTATTAGCATAAGCAACTAACGCCATAATATCAAATTTATATTACGTTCTTTTTTCTAAAATATTGACTGGTAATGTTTACGTATTTTATGTAAGACAATTTCGAGGTTGTGTAGTATTACAAATCTTTACAAAGCGCATGCGTTGTTAATGTACCCTTCCACAACTCCTTACGTTCCGCATCTTACAACGGTTTTACTCTCGTATCACACTCCTCTTCGCCCCTTGAGAAATACGTGGCGTCGGCCATGCACATGCTATTCGCGCGCTTTTAACAAACTAGTCTAATCACTCATCGAAACGATCACCGAAGTAAGTATTCACTTATATTTTTGATCAGTACAAAATCTCTCAGAAAACATGCTTTATTTTCTTATCAAATCAAGTATTCTAAGCAAAAACGTGTTTGTTTGCAGGCGTAACCTCAAACAAAATGGGCAAACGGAAAGCGAAAACCGTTGAAGCCGTTGAACCTGAGCCAGAACCAGTGACACCCACAAAAATGTCCAAGAAAAACAAAAATAAAAAGAAGCAGACACCAATTGCTGAGACCCCGGTTGAGATTGTGAAACCCTCGCCAAAAAAGAACAAATCCAAAACTGAGAAGTTGAATGCTTCAATTTTGGAGGACATCACTACCCCAAGCAGGAAGAGTAAGGGTGAGCATGGTAGTCATCATAAACACTCCAGAAATGATAGTGTTTCTGAAGAAAGTACAGCCAGCCATCCCAAAAAGAAGCACAAGAAAGAAAAAGAGCACAAAACTCCAGTAAAAGTCAAAGATGAAGAAAGTGAAGAAGAAGCCATGTGTGATGAGCTGATTCCACCAGTAATAACTGAAGAAAATGGCGATCCTGAGGCAGAGATTGATTTGTTAGAGATTCCAAAAGCTGACCTGCAATTACTCTTAAAAGGTATCCAAAAATTATTACCAGAGACTGAAAGTATCACTCCTAAGGCCAGCACTAAAAAACTGGATTGGGAAAAGGTAAAATATCACAGATTCTGTGATTATTTACAGTCTAAAATGTAAAATTTTCATTATACAGGTTGCATTTGGTTACTACACAGCCGAAAGATGCGCAGAGATCTGGGACGCGATAAAGAAACGACAAAGACAGTATCGCTACATGTCTGAACTCATCGAAGATGCTTTGGTATGGTTAGACACGCCCTGGCGAAGCGCAAAAAATAAAGCTACCAAACAACACCCTGACTTTCCCAAGCGACCTAAATCTGCTTTCCTTCTATTTCTCCAAGATGCTAAAGCAGACATTATGCGCGACACGAAAGACGCGAAAATTACAGAAATCGCGCGCATTGGTGGCCAAAGGTACAAGCAACTTTCCGAAGCCGCAAAACAAAGCTACTTGGACCGTGCTGCTGTAAGCATGCGCAAGTACGAACGTAAAGTGGAACAATTCTACGAGAAACATCCGCAACTCAAGACTGAAGTGGTCCAAAAGTACCCAGGACCAAAGAAACCACGCACTGCATTCACACTGTTTCTGGAAGATCACCTCAGCAAGGAGGAACATGTCGCTGATAAAAGCGCGTACAAAATGGCGTCGAAACAAGCATGGAGCAAAATGTCGGCTAAAAAGAAAGTGCCATGGATTAAACAAGCAGTTGCCGAGCATAGAAAGTACTTGGGCGAAGTTCAAGTTTATAACTTTTCACATCCTACTGAAGTAGTGAAGCCATTGAAGACAATCCTCAACAAAGAAGAGCTGCAAATGTTGAATAAATCCGAAGGTAAACCATCGAAGCCGCCAACATCTGCTTATATTCTATTTTCACAACAATTGATGTCTTCTGGTGAGTTATCGGGGTTAGCTGCCAAAGATCGCGTGAAAACCATTGCAGCGAAATGGAATCAAGTGAGCAAAGAGGATCGCGATGAATATGAAAAGAAATTGAAAGTGATACAAGAAAAGTACAAAAAAGATTATAAAGTATACCTGGATAAATTGCCAGAGGAAGAACGGGCGCAACTGGAGTTGGACATGGAGAAGAAGAAAAAGAAGACCGAAAAGGTGAAGAAGGAGAAAAGACAATCTGTTTCAATACGTGATATGTAAGTATTACTTAATTATTTTTTCACATTTTAACACATTTTTTATATAAAAAAAATTAATTCCAGGACAATGCAAGCTTTACCAAAGCACTGGTCAGCAATGAGTGAAGACGATAAGAAGATTTACATGTCTGCGCTGAACCGCGTTCGGGACTACTTCGAGACGAAGCTCAACGAGAGTGTGAAAGTGGAAGAAAATGTACCTGGAGAGACTGCCGACGATGATGATGAAGATGATGACGATGAGACCGATGCCGAAGCGGAAGCAGAAGCCAATGACGATTCCGGTGAATCCGAGAGTGAAAGCGACGCGTCTTCCGACTAACCAACTAAAGATTGTTACTCGTTCCTGTTTGTACTTGTACTTTTTAACTCGTTTGATATTTTATTTATTTATTTTTGTATGTATTAGTAATGATAAGTTGTCCTGACAGAGAGTTTATGACGATTCAAACGATTGTTATCACACAAATTTGTGATTGATTATTGAATATAACACAATTTGCAAACAACATGACCTTGGTTACAAATGTAATATTAAAATTAATATTCTAGGATTGTATGAAAAGGAATGAAATAATACAGCGCCCTATGAGTTCGCGACATGCGCGATGCACGCGTTGATTACCAATGTGAAGATAAACTCGCGCGCGGCGAGCACCGGTTCCCAAAGCCCAATAACCGTAGGTTACCGCAGGTAACCGGAGTGTCCACACCGGAGTAGTCCGGTGTAAAACAGCGCCGACAAAGGGGATGGCACTGACTTCCACGCCATTTTTGCGTGCAACTACCATCTGAATCTCACCTATCCAACACCTCTAGTATTAAATATTAAATCATTGCACAGCCACTTTACAAGAAAAAGATGTCCAATAAGAATTCGGAGGCACCCCACACCGAAACCGAAAACTTTGCGTTTCTCACCTCGGCAATCACATGGAGAGAACCGAAAAACAGGGAAACCTCGGATGATAACGGTAATCATGCCGAGAATCAACTCGGGGAGAATCTGCTTGCATGTGGCAGTGCAACCAAAGTAAGAAATGCTTCCAATGATAGTTTTGATGTGGACTATGACCTGATTATTAACCCATTTATGGTGAGGGCTTTGGATGTCACCAAGTTTCAAATTTGTAAGTATTTATAGAAAATTTTCATCAAAAAAACACTAAAAGTTGATTTTTATCTAGTATATGATCAAGAATCTGATGAAACAGAAATAATCTCCAAGACATTTTCTCCTACAATGGCACATCAAGTTTTTGGCACAGAGTAAGTCCGTTTTTTCTAAAGAAAATCAACATTTCTTATATAATATTGTCTAGAGAGGTGATAACTGGATATAGAAACCTTCTCATCAATTTCACAATACTACCCAATAGTTTTCATACTAGTATGGAGTACACCTACTCAGCAATGGCCAACAATCCACTCAGATTGGAAATAGCTGATAATATTGATGAGAAACTCCAGGAATGGTTTCCACATTTAATCAAACCTGAAGAATTGATCAAACTCAAAGAAAGTGAAGATTTAATGAAGATGTTTGGTGATATTGTGTTGTCATTTCAACTACATGGTTAGTAAAATTATTTTAACATAAAACTGATTAAAAAATAACTGAAATATTTGCAGATAAAGATAATATACCCACAAATATTTATGTTACAAAATGTGATTCAAATGAGGCGGCGTTTTTAGACTTTCACAAACGTTTCCAGGCGCTGATAGTCTTCTTTATTGATGCTGCATCAATCATAGACTACACAGACCCAAACTGGGTGTATTATTATGTCTATAAAGAGGTTTTAAAGGATGGCAAAGTTGTATCACGTTTACCGATTGGTTTCTGCACGGTTTACATGTTTACAGTCTCGAAACGTGCAATCCGATTCGAGTCCGTTTAGATTTAGATATAAATAGGTATAAGTTCTATTAATAATTAAGTTACCTATATCATTTTATACTTTATAATTTACATTCATATATTATTAGATTTATAAAACAATCAATGCAATGGTAAAGGTAAGAGGAGATTGTGCGTCCGAAATACCGACGTCTGTGATGATTTTTCAAACAAAAAATCGCAATGCACACCTGATACAAGATGTAAACGCAAAAGAAACGCATTTAACACTAGTCATGGCACTTTTTGCAGCCTTGGATCAGCTCAACTCAAGGCGCTACACGGTCATTGACATTTAATTCATCATTCATGGTCATTAAAGCACTTATTGCAGCAAATATAGCTATAAAGTATTTTTATATTGGAATATTGTACGAATAAAGCACATTATTACTTTTATTAAACTTATTAAATCTTTATTTCTATTTTAAAAACCATATTTTGCCTGTGTTTGTTTTCTAGAATATTTATTTGAAGCCCATCTATTTTTCAATTCTTGTTCATTTGCCTTCGCCTAAAAATCATCAAAAATAAAACCAATTTTCTTTTTTTATATTTTAATTAATTAAAACCATCATTACCTGTTGAGCTAAGTAAGTAATATGATGTTTCCGTTTACTCATGGCACTTATAGGCTCTCCTTCAGCTGCTGAAGGTCTTTCTACTTCTGGATCAGTCAAGGCTTTAGCTCTTATGATATCTTCATCTGTCATTACTTCCTCTTCATTTATATCAATGAATTTAATATTTTCTGGGCGAATTTTAGAAGAACCAACTAATTTTTTGAACTAAAATTATGTTTAATAATAAAACTATGTTGTTTAAATGCAAAATATAAATGCTTACTGCTTCATTGTCTAAACCTTCATAAGGCTTAGCAGGTTCAGGTGCAGATACAATATCTGCTTGAATATTTTGTTCACTATGATCAACCACTTGTACAATTGGCTCTAGTTTGGGTTTTCTGCCACAGACAGCTTTCCATGCATTCACATCAAACTCCTCTACTTTAAAATCATCATCTTCATCATCAGAAGTCATGTTTTTACTTTGTGAAGTTGTATTTTGTGCTTTTGTCTTGACATTTCTTGGTATTAAATTATTTGATGCCTTTTTAGCATTTTTGGCAACTGAATTAGGTATTAAAGTCTTTGTTGTGACTGTTGCTATCTTGGGTGGTGGTAATATTGAAAATAAACCACTGGATTTCTACAAAATTATTATTTTAAGTTGATTTATCAATAAAAATGTATTGAATTTAACTTACTGAGACAATTTTTTGTCTTTTATCTTTTGGTTCATCTTCTTCATCACTATCAAAGTCTTTCAAAGATGGTGCAATAATTCTAACAGGTTTTTTCACAGGTTTTTCGGTGGGTTGCTCTTTTTTCAACAGAAACTCATCGTTTTCTTCTTTGATATCCACAAATTGATTGACTGTTTTAGGCTGAGGTAAAGTTGTGAATAATTCCGGATTTTCAGTGGATATTGCAGGCTTTTCGATTATTTCAACACCACCAGAAGGTAAATCGTCTTCATCATCAGTTATGTTATCACTATCACTATTAGCATAAGCGACTAACGCCATAATATCAAATTTATATTACGTTCTTTTATTAGTTCTTATTGACTGGTTATGTTTACGTATTTGATGTAAGACAATTTCGAGGTTGTGTAGTATTACAAATCTTTCAAAGGCGCATGCGTTGTTAATGTACCCTTCCTCAACTCCTTACGCTCCGCATCTTACAACGGTTTTACCCTCGTATCACACTCCTCTTCGCCCCTTGAGAAATGCGCGGCGTCGGCCATGCACATGCTATTCGCGCGCTTTTAACAAACTAGTCTAATCACTCATCTAAACGATCACCGAAGTAAGTATTCACTTATATTTTTGATCAGTACAAAATCTCTCAGAAAACACGCTTTATTTTCTTATCAAATCAAATATTCTAAGCAAAAACGTGTTTGTCTGCAGGCGTAACCTCAAACAAAATGGGCAAACGGAAAGCGAAAACCGTTGCAGCCGTTGAACCTGAGCCAGAACCAGTGACACCCACAAAAATGTCCAAGAAAAACAAAAATAAAAAGAAGCAGACACCAATTATAGCTGAGACCCCGGTTGAGATTGTAAAACCCTCGCCAAAAAAGAACAAATCCAAAACTGAGAAGTTGAATGCTTCAATTTTGGAGGACATCACTACCCCAAGCAGGAAGAGTAAGGGTGAGCATGGTAGTCATCATAAACACTCCAGAAATGATAGTGTTTCTGAAGAAAGTACAGCCAGCAGTCCCAAAAAGAAGCACAAGAAAGAAAAAGAGCACAAAACTCCAGTAAAAGTCAAAGATGAAGAAAGTGAAGAAGAAGCCATGTGTGATGAGCTGATTCCACCAGTAATAACTGAAGAAAATGGCGATCCTGAGGCAGAGATTGATTTGTTGGAGATTCCAAAAGCTGATTTGCAATTACTTTTAAATGGTATCCAAAAATTGTTACCAGAGACTGAAAGTATCACTCCTAAGGCCAGAACTAAAAAACTGGACTGGGAAAAGGTAAAATACCACAGATTCTGTGATAATTCTAAATCTAAACTGTAAAATTTTCATTATACAGGTTGCATTTGGTGACTACACAGCCGAAAGATGCGTAAAGATCTGGGACGCGATCCAGAAACGACAAAGACAGTACCGCTACATGTCTGAACTCATTGAAGACGCTTTGGTATGGTTAGACACACCCTGGCGAAGCGCAAAAAAGAAAGCCACCAAACAACACCCTGACTTTCCCAAGCGACCTAAATCTGCTTTCCTTCTATTTCTCCAAGATGCTAAAGCAGACATTATGCGCGACACGAAAGACGCGAAAATTACAGAAATCGCGCGCATTGGTGGCCAAAGGTACAAGCAACTTTCCGAAGCCGCAAAACAAAGCTACTTGGACCGTGCTGCTGTAAGCATGCGCAAGTACGAACGTAAAGTGGAACAATTTTACGAGAAACATCCGCAATTCAAGACTGAAGTGGTCCAAAAGTACCCAGGACCAAAGAAACCACGCACTGCATTCACACTGTTTCTGGAAGATCACCTCAGCAAGGAGGAACATGTCGCTGATAAAAGCGCATACAAAATGGCGTCGAAACAAGCATGGAGCAAAATGTCGGCTAAGCAGAAACTGCCATGGATTAAACAAGCAGTTGCCGAGCATAGAAAATACTTGGATGAAGTTCAAGTGTACAACTTTTCACATCCTACTGAAGTAGTGAAGCCATTGAAGACAATCCTCAACAAAGAAGAGCTGCAAATGTTGAATAAATCCGAAGGTAAACCATCGAAGCCGCCAACATCTGCTTATATTCTATTTTCACAACAATTGATGTCTTCGGGTGAGTTATCGGGATTAGCTGCGAAGGATCGCGTGAAAACCATAGCAGCAAAATGGAATCAAGTAAGCAAAGAGGATCGCGATGAGTATGAAAAGAAATTGAAAGTGATACAAGAAAAGTACAAAAAGGATTATAAAGTATACCTGGATAAATTGCCAGAGGAAGAACGGGCACAATTGGAGTTGGACATGGAGAAGAAGAAAAAAGAAGACCGAGAAAGTGAAGAAGGAGAAAAGACAATCTGTTTCAAAACGTGATGTGTAAGTATTTTTAAATTATTTAACAAAACAATTTTTTATATAAAATTTTCGATTCCAGGACAATGCAAGCTTTACCAAAGCACTGGTCAACAATGAGCGAAGACGAGAAAAAGATTTACGTGTCTTGGCTGAACCGCGTTCGGGACCACTTCGAGACGAAGCTCAACGAGAGTGTAAAAGTGGAAGAAAATGTACCTGGTGAGACTGCCGACGATGATGATGATGAAGAGGACGACGAGGCTGATGCCGAAGCAGAAGCAGAAGCCAATGACGATTCCGGCGAGTCCGAGAGTGAAAGCGACGCGTCTTCCGACTAACCAACTAAAGATTGTTACTCGTTTCTGTTTGTACTTGTACTTTTTAACTCGTTTGATGTTTTATCCCTTCTTTTTTTTTGTATATATTAGTAATGATAAGTTGTCCTCACAGAGAGTTTATGACGATTCAAACGATTGTTATCACACAAATTTGTGTACAGAGTATGTAAGATGAAGAAATCCATTATTTATTGAATATAACACAATTTGCAAACAACGTGACCTTGGTAATTGATTGCAAATGCAGTACTATGTTTAAAAATTAATATTCTAGGATTGTATGAAAAGGAATGAAATAATACAGCGCCCTATGAGTTCGCGACATGCGCGATGCACGCGTTGATTACCAATGTGAAGATAAACTCGCGCGCGGCGAGCACCGGTTCCCAAAGCCCAATAACCTACAAACGCACGAAGCGTACGAAACTTCTCGAAACGCACAGGTAAACGGAGTGTCCACACCGGAGTAGTCCGGTGTTAAAACAGCGCCGACAAAGGGGATGGCACTGACTTCCACGCCATTTTTGCGTGCAACTATCATCTGAATCTCACCTATCCAACACCTCTAGTATTAAATATTAAATCATTGCATAGCCACTTTACAAGAAAAAGATGTCCAATAAGAATTCGGAGGCGCCCCACACCGAAACCGAAAACTTTGCGTTTCTCACCTCGGCAATCACATGGAGAGAACCGAAAAACAGGGAAACCTCGGATGATAACGGTAATCATGCCGAGAATCAACTCCGGGAGAATCTGCTTGCATGTGGCAGTGCAACCAAAGTAAGAAATGCTTCCAATGATAGTTTTGATGTGGACTATGACCTGATTGTTAACCCGTTTATGGTGAGGGCTTTGGATGTCACCAAGTTTCAAATTTGTAAGTATTTTTTATAAAATTTGATCTAAAAAACACTAAAAAATTGATTTATATCTAGTATATGATCATGAATCTGATGAAACAGAAATAATATCCAAGACATTTTCTCCTACAATGGCACATCAAGTTTTTGGCACAGAGTAAGTCCTTTTTTTCTAAAGAAAATCAACATTTCTTATATAATATTGTCTAGAGAGGTGATAACTGGATATAGAAACCTTCTCATCAATTTCACAATACTACCCAATAGTTTTCATACTAGTATGGAGTACACCTACTCAGCAATGGCAAACAATCCACTCAGATTGGAAATAGCTGATAATATTGATGAGAAACTCCAGGAATGGTTTCCACATTTAATCAAACCTGAAGAATTGATCAAACTCAAAGAAAGTGAAGATTTAATGAAGATGTTTGGTGATATTGTGTTGTCATTTCAACTCCATGGTTAGTAAAATTATTTTACCATAAAACCGATTAAAAAATAACTGAAATATTTGCAGATAAAGATAATATACCCACAAATATTTATATTACAAAATGTGATCCAAATGTGGCGGCGTTTTTAGACTTTCACAAACGTTTCCAGGCGCTGATAGTCTTCTTTATTGATGCTGCATCAATCATAGACTACACAGACCCCAACTGGGTGTATTATTATGTCTATAAAGAGGTTTTAAAAGACGGCAAAGTTGTATCGCGTCTACCGATTGGTTTCTGCACGGTTTACATGTTTACAGTCTCGAAACGTGCGAGAGTCTCGCAGTTTTTCATTTTACCAAACTACCAACAACGTGGGCTTGGTTTGAGGCTCTTAGGGTTGATTTATAGAGAATTTCAAAATCAAGACGACTTTAAATATATCACTGGTGAGTTATTTAATGCATTATTACTTAAAATTAGGTAATTTTTATAATTTTTCATAGTGGAATGTCCATGTGAAGAATTTTCTATGCTCAGAGACAAATTAGACCTGGCATTCATTGCAAATCTACCAGAGTTCTCAAAAGAATGCGTTTTGCAAGGCTACACACCCGCAATGGGCATTTTAGCGCAAAAACGCTGGAAGTTAACAAGCGAACAAGTGCGACATCTTGTGGCTGTGCTTAGATGTTACTATACCAAGACTGATCCCGAACAACATGAAATGTTCATAAGAAATTTAAAACTAAATAGTTATAATAATTATAAGGTGCGTGCACTATCATTCAGTCAAAACAATTGTTTATACATTTAAATATTTTTTTAAAATTTCATTTCAGAAAAAATTAACTCGAATCTCAAGCAAAGCAGCCAAAGAAGAGCGCGTTGCGCGTCTGAAACGCATCGTCGATGATGATTACATGCTGAACCGCACGATTCACCGCGACGTCGTCAACTACGTGAAGCGAATGCTGCCGCACATGAAATACGTCGAGAGTTTGTTAGCGCAAGCGTCATCCAAAGTTTAAGTGTTTTAAATCTGATAGTTTCTATGATGTTATAGCGAAACGGAATCTCGGAGTACGCCATCTTTAATTTATATACTATTGCATGTTTAACTCGATTTTGTTACGGTCAAGAAGTATATAATTCAATTGTTGGGTGGTTTCTCAGTAAATAATTCTATTTGGTCGATAAATAATGATGGGTTTGTAAAGTTATTTTACCTTTTTCGTTGATTCTGTAGCGGAATTGTTGAAAATCTCGGTAGCGTCGGTGGTGAACAGCTTCTTTGAAACAACCGCACGAAACTGTCGAAAAGTTTTGCATGTTTAACAGTGTTCTAAGCATTTTGACACTGCCAGCGCCATCTATTATTAGAATACGAACTAATCTATTATGAAACCCTTGCGTTTCTTGCGTTTTTAACATTAAAACACTTATTTTAGATGAAAAATGCACAGTAACATTTATTTAAATTATATATACGTTAAATATTTAATTGAAATCGTAACACGTAAAATTTTGTGTTGTTTACAAGTCGACGCCGACTGTAGCACTGAAAACAAATGCCTGCGAATGTTGTTTTTCTTCTTTTGTTTTTTTCCTCACCGCACATGGCAACTCCGATAAGAAAAGACACGATAAAGAGATCCCACAGTGATTCGAAGCAGTGTTTGGTACGCGTTCATCGTGTTTGTACGTTTTTGTGCTCGTATTGTCAATAAAAATCACTAAATCACGAAAAATTAATCAAAATGTCTTGCAAACAACGCAAAGTCGTTATAATGGGCTACAGATCAGTTGGTAAATCATCTCTGAGTATTCAATTCGTCGAAGGACAATTCGTAGACGATTATAATCCAACGATAGAAAACAGTTGAGTCAAAAAAAAACTTAAATCATTAAAAAAACTTAATTTTTCAATGTTTAAATTAACATTTGCAGCGTTTACAAAGCGCGCGCGTTTCAATTCGCAAGACTACGAGCTAAAGGTGATCGACACGGCGGGGCAGGACGAGTATTCGCTGATAACATCACAGTACGGTATAGATATCCACGGATATGTCCTTGTTTACAGCGTAACGAGCAATAAATCGTTCGAGGTGATTAAGTCTTTGTACGCCAAACTGTTGGACATCACGGGGAAAGTTGAGTATGTGTCGGCCATTTTGTTTTTGTTGCATTTCATGTTTCAACTCGTGTCATTTTACAGTTTACCAATTGTTTTGGTTGGTAACAAGACGGATTTGCACAAACAACGTGCGATATCACCAGAACAAGGGCGCAAATTGGCCGAGGAGTGGAAAGCGGTGTTTTTGGAGACGTCAGCTAAACACCAAGAAGTAAATATTAATAACTAACACTTACTTTGTATAATAATCTATTGTATGTTGTTGTTTAAAGGATGTTCTTGATATTTTCAACGTGCTGCTGCGTGAAATCGAACGCACGAATGGAAACCTCACAGAAAGAACCAACTGCGCCGTGTCTTAACCTGAAACAGAACACAAGCAACAAACGCAAAAGAAAAGTAAACAAAAAGTAAACGTACCTAACATATTATTTATATTTACATAGAATAGGAACCAAAATAGTAATGACCAATGATGATTAATGACGTGTGCGTAAAATAGTAAAACTTTAAAACTTTCAAAATGAAAAAAAAAAAAACTAACACTTTTAGGTAATTGTTTTATACTACTGCAGTATAAATGGTTTATAAATCATTTTATATATTTATATTAAAAGATGTATTTATGTATTTGTTATTGTCGTAGTCAAAACAATTTAATTAGGTTTAGGATGATCTGTTAAAAGTTCAAAGAAGTGACTTTTGTACATGTATTTCATAAGTATTAATCTTGTAAACAAATGAACATATTATGAAATTTACGAATTCATGATAATGTTTCATTGTGTTTCTGTTTTCTTATTTGTAGATGTTGTAGATGTAGTAGATGTAGACTTTGTAAGTTATTTAGTTTATAGGAATGTGATTAGTAGTGTTTTTGTACTTTAATATTTAAGATTTGTCAAAAGTTTGCAATATTTATCATTGTTGTCATTATTGGAAAACATGTAATACAAAAAAACAAATAATAAACAAATTGATATTTAGATATTGTTAAATAATAAAGCGCAAAGTAATAAAAGATAATAATGTACAGACTTTTATGTACATCTATAATATAAAAATGAACCGCAAAATTTGTTGGTAAGCGCATAACTCAATAACGCCTAGACCAATTTGGCCAATTCTTTTTTTAAATGTTCGTTCAAGTCCAAGGATGGTTTTTACGGTGAGAAAAATTCAAATAATTACTGGGAAAACCCTAAAGACCGCTCTTTTCTATAGGATAAAAGTTGGTATTGAGATTCAATCATAGTTACAGTTAAATAGTTGAATCCGAGATGGCGCGCTGAAGTGCATTATTAGCAATTCTTTATATAATTACTTCCTTTAAAATAAAATTGCAAATCTTATTGATAGAATTGACACATACTATGTCTAGAACAAGAGAGTAAAACTAATTATATTTTTATTAAATACTGAATAAGGAAGGAAGAAAGGAACCTAGAACCAGCAAAAGTGCAGGGAGGTGCACTAGCGCGTGAAATACAACTTATACACTATCCTAGCGCAATCGCACTTTCCCCACCACTCTTATCTAATTTTTGTCGTTTTCTGAAAGAAAATTTATGAATCTCATGGTCAAGTGTATTTATTATCATTTCATGAACCAAAAGGCCAACTGTTCACAGTTTGACAGCTCGCACAGTCAAATAAAATTAGAAAAACAGCGACAATGTACAAGGAAAAACATTAAATATATAATATGTGTATATATAATGTGGTATGTATAAAATATTATGTCATAAATAGTCTATGGCTTTCTCAAACTGAATAATATGTGTATGTATACCTGTTCTGCACTCTATTGTATTGTATTGTATCTGTAGTAATCCTCTGGCTATTGCTATTGCTTGTGATGGTTTGGCTCGAATCGAAAACGACTCAGTCGGATAAAAATTTTTAACAAATGATAGAAAATCTAATAATAGAATAATATAAAATACTAATAACACATCAATATTTTTTTCTTGCCTTGCGTATTCGATTCAATATTCATATCAGGATAAAAATAATTGTATGTGCTATCACTATATCCACACACCACACAATATCCAACATCACACCGCAGGCAATCGAATAATGCTGTTGTAAAAAAATATCTGACTACGTTTATCATTTCTTAAATTTCTTTTGTTTGTGTTTTGTTTTGCTGCATATTTGGTTGTCTAAATCATGCCACAGCGCGGTGTGCTTAACCTCTTCACTTTTTCGATTGATTGATTGATTGAGGGTGTGTATTAGAGTTAAATGTTACCTGGTCAATTGCGTGCGAGTTTATTCAATTCCACGCGCGCCATCGATTGGCATCGTGTGCAAAACCTCATCGAGCAGCTGCAGGGCGCGATGCAAATGCACTTCGATCCAACATGGCGTTTCTTTGATCGACTGCCGCGGGTAATCCGGGCCCCAGCCCTTCACGAAACTCAAACGTAGAATACACAATCGTCGCAGATCATCGACGCCAATTCCTGAAGCTGCTGATAAACCTATTGTTATTAAAGTGAAAATTAATAAAATTAGGAAAAAACAAAAAAATAAAATGACTGCTTTGAAGGAAACTTACTTATAGCTGGTGCAATTCCACCAACACTATGAGGTCCCGGTATGTGTCCAGCAACAGCAGCGGCCTGCGCAGCCGCCGCCGCTTGAGCAGTCGCAGCTTGCTGAGTCATCTGCCCGTGGCACTGCCGTAAATCAAACACTTTGATATACGCAGACGGATAAATCTTATGCACGGCATCGCCCGGAGCACGTCCAGCTTCCCTATCTAAATAATAACTCTGCACGAACACAGAGTGATCGCTTAAACATCTCAACCACACATCGCCTTCGCCGCGCAAATCAAGCTGAACACCTTTACCAATGTGCAGACGCGCACGCTCGCTTTGTTCAGTACGATGGACATTACTCAACGCACCGAGACAGAAACGATTACCACCGCTTGGATCCACATAACCATCGACTGTTACATTCGGACAACTCGATGGTACTTTGAATGTTTCACCCACTTGAGTGTCCAGCTCAAAATACGCTACGGAACACCAAAATTCAGGCGCTGGTTGATTACTTAGCAGTCCAGCGATGTTACCCACATCGTTACCGATTTGATTTGTCGAATTGTGATTCCCTGAAGACACAAAACATAAAAATTTAACTAAAAACAAGTAAAAAGATGAAAAAACTTACAGTAATTATTGTGATGATTGCGATTCTCAGGTGGTTGCATACTCTGTGTGTAGGTGAGAGTATTCGCACCGGTCCAAGTCCCACCGGCGCCCGTAAATGCTTGCCCCGAAGCAGGTGTGGCGGTTTGACCACCGCCCGTGCTCACATTAGCGACTGGTTGCTGTTGATTAGCGAAACCGTTCTGTTGTAAATGTGGCGACACAGGCGAAGTACTACCAAGCGTGGAATTTATATCAGCCACCTGCTGGCGCTCAACCTGCTGCTGGCCGTTGTTTTGCGGCGGTGGCGCCGCTCCATAAAACTGCCCTGGCCAGGCCCGGCTTGCTGCGGCATCGCGTTGTGTTGGTGCACACCACCAGAAGCTGAAATATTTTATAACTTTAACTACAACCACATTGCGCTGCGATTCAATCGCGAATTACGAGCTTCTGTGAGGTGGAATCGCGCATGAAAAACACACCAACTCGGCGCGCATGTAAACAAAATGGAGTTCAATGCATCGAGCATTTACTTAACGCGTTCGCAAATCAGCCAAATGTAAATTGATATGTCGCGCACACGATACCATAACAAACAATTGTTTGCAGCGGGTAATTGCACATTACGCGGAAAGCAACGATAAGGAAACTTAAAAGAAAATCAAAAATCAAAAGTAATCGCTTACGAATCGGTAGATGCATACGTGAGGGCAGCCAATTGTTGCGCTGGTGCGCATCCTGCGCGGATGCGACCGATTCCAGCTTCGGCACCGTCGGCGGCGGGCCCAGAACCGGCCGATTACTTGCATAATTTATACTCGGATCACCTACGTAAACGAAATCAACACAAAAAATAGAAACAAACAAAACCAAAATCAAAAAACAGGTTATGTTTTTAGGTTAAGTTAATAATTATACCTCCAGGTGGCGGTGATTGTAACGTAGCTAACGTATACCCCTGTTGAGGTGGGTGATGTTGTATAGTCTGTGTGACTCCACCAGCCATCGCCAGCTCAGTGTCCACTTCCATGCCGCTGCCACCTGGGACAGGCCCGCCTGCGCTGTATTCATCTTTGACAAGACGCGCGGATGGTTGGATCGACAACCCTGAGAGATCAATGCCGGGCGATACCACGCGCTCGTAGTGGTATGGATTGACGCACACCGAATCGCATTTTAGATCGAACGCAAACTGGCAGTATTTTACGTGTTTTAGTTCGTTTTTATGCAGGTCTGGCCAGCGCCAGATTCGGGCGTAGATTACATGAGGGAAACCTTTTCTGCCAGCAACCTAAAACATAAATATTAAGTTAAAATCGGTCATAAATCAGAAACTAAAAGAGAAAACAGTGTAAATCTTTCACAGGGGTGTAGATTATCATGTATTCTATGAAATTACATAGGTTTGGAGGGGTATTTAATAAAATTTGAGGTTAAAATATCTAAAAATTACAAAAAGTGAATTTTTGTTGCAAAAGTAGTGATAATTACTAAATAAATCGAAATAAACTAAATATTTATGTGTACTGATGTTGCTAGGGTCAAAAAATATTCTTATTTATCAATTTTAGTGATAAATAAAGTTTTAGACTTAAAAACGCAACATTTATGCAAAAAGAAAGCTAAAAACACGAATAATTTCAAAATCTTGTAAATTTGAACTATTTCTCTAAAAATTTAAAGTAAATCTACTCAAAACCTACGAAATATTCAAAACTATCCACATTTAGAGGTTAAAATTATTTAGATTAATATAAATCTTGTAAATTTTTACTATTTCTCTCAAAATTTGAAGCAAATTGACTCAAAACCTATGAAATATTTAAAACTATCAACATTTTGAGGTTATGACTCTTTAGTTTAAGATAAATCTTATATATTTTAACTATTTCTCTCAAAATTTGCTACAAATTTCCTCAAAACCTATGATATATTCAAAACTATCAACATTTAGAGGTTATAACAGCAATTTTTCACCTGTAATCGCCCGTCTAGCGTGCGCTGAATCGTAACACATTTACTCGGATGTGCCCCATTTGTAGTGATGGCAGTAATGAGTGAGTCCAGCTCATCCCGCTTCTCCTTGAGCTTCTTCACCAGTGATTCAATGGCACGCTTGGCAAATCCTTCACTCTCACCACCCTGCCTATGGCACATCAAGCTGTGCACAATGCTAAGACAAGCATCAGCTGATGTCGGCGCGTTTGTTGCTAAACCCGACATCGCATCTACAAAACCCCACAAAATTAATAATAAATCATATCCTATGCTTTGTTTAAGTTTAAATTAATGTATAATGTATAACTTACATATTCCTGAGTATTAAGTTGAGGTGATGTTAAACTGGATCATCCTTTGTGTGTAATGATCACATTCCTAAACTAAAACACACAAAACAAATTGCAATTCGTTCGGAATTCGTATTCTTGATTCTTACATTGTGTTGATTTTGGTTAGCTTTCGCTTTCGCACTGTGCGCACTATGACTAATTGTTTACGCTCGCAGGCCGCTTTTTTTTTGCCTAGCGACCGCTGCGTAGATTCACCGGCGAATGAAAAGAGGCCCTTTGCACACTGCGTGTTCTAGTAGTAGTAGTAGTAGTAGAGGTAGTCGAGGTCCCTAATCCGCTGAAGAAATGTGTATAGAGATGAATGCACTTGCCTCGCTCAACACTTGTACGGTCGTTGTGTATTTGTTGTATGTTGTACCCGTACCCGCAGTCCGCACCGGCCGTACCCTTGGCAGCAGCTTGAGGTTTCTCCGTTTCTGCACTTCGCGGAATCCGAATGCGAGCGCCCCACCACTCCCTTTACGATTTATTTACGAACGCGATGAAAACGACGTTGTTTCCGGCGGACCGGCGGTCCACAACGGCACACAACTAACTTCAGGAGGATGGTTTTATTATGCGCTTCGTTTTATTTCATCGTGAACTTACGTTTTGCGTTTAGTCGTTGCGTGTGATCAGCGGCATGATGAACGTGGTAAGTCAATGCGCCGATGAGTTCCGTATAGGATCGTTCAAATTGTCGGCGATTTATGTAATGATTAGATTGGTTAATCTCGCGAGTCGCGAATACGAAGCGAGAGCGCGAACCGCGCGAGCAAAACAAAGGTTGTTTATTTAGTTGGCGATTTTTTCCTGCGAGGGGGCGCCACCAATCAGACAATTCATCAAAATGTCGGGAATTAAATTTAATCTTAGAAAAGTAGAAGTTTTTCGTTAATTACTTCAAATTTAGACGTTTTATATTAATTATTATTGCGTAAAAGTCTTCCTAATTAAATTTGACATCTATTATTACAAAGATTTAGTTGAAATTTGGTTTAATTAATTATTTACGACGCAATTTAGTTTTGTTTTTGTAAATTCTCACAAAAAAATTAATTTCGATTAATTTTGGAGTTTTCATTTTAATTTCTAGACAAATAAATATCATTTTTGTGATTATTTTAAATATAATTTGTTGCTTTACATCGTTTAGTATCAAAATAGTCGAAAAATTAGTTTAAAACACGAAATTAAACTAAAAAACATTAAAATAGTTGCAAATTAATTCCCATCTTGTTTATTTAAACAAATAAAAGTCTCCTTTGACCTTGTAGAATGAAATACGAGATTTTCCAACATTTGCAACCCAATATCCCGTTTTTCATACTTCTACTCTTACAATAAACAAAAATATAATAATTATATCAAGAACATAATTAAAACAATATGTTAAAGTTCATTATGGAAATTAGCGATGATTACAGCTATCAGCAGTAGTTACGTTGCGTATAAACATTGTTTTGAGTTGAATGTCACAGTTGTTTTGTAATTGACGAATAAATAACGTTGAGAGTTCGATGAATTTCAATTTGGGATGCAACTAAACATTTAAAGCGTCAAAAAACGATTAAAACGTACTCGCAGTGCGAAAAACGTGATTGTGTTTTTTAATCAACCTATGGCGCATAATAAAAAAATGCGTCGTGTATGAATATGTAAACAGCGGCTAACAAAAACGACAACTTGAGACGTTCGAGGTAATCGTGTAGTGTTATTGAGTGAAGGACTAAAGTTTCAAGTTTATTTTGAGTTGTTCACATTTAAAAAACACACAATTATTTAGTAAAAACAAAAATAAACAATTTAAAGTGATTAGTTGTACATGTTTGGGGTTAGTTTAAATATAGGCAACCAAGAATACCGTTTTTACTTGTTTTGCATTGGTTTAACCATGTTTTAACCTCAAAAACATTGATTTAATGGATAAAAATCGTTTACTTTGCAAGTATAATGCGTGTACAATGATAATTACCATCTACTTTTGCATTATTGAAGATATAAATAAATATTCCAAGCGATTCCTGGTAGTAATCGATTGTAAGTAATCAAAAAACACTAATGATGAGCAAATGTCCTTCGAGAATAAAGTTAATTACAAATAGAAAATAGATGCGTGCATTTAACTGCAAAGAAAAGGAATACATTTGATTATTATTATTATTACTGCATCAAATTAAAGTCTATAAAAGGTGATAACTCACTACTGCATAATTTTACTACCTGGTAACAAAGTGCAAACAACTAAAACAACTAATTAATAAGTTTTATAGCAAATTAAATTCAATTCAACAGAAAAATTACAATTTTTACAAAACAATTGTTAATTTATTTGATAAAAGAGGTAAAATTGCTTATTTTTTTCACTCTTTTGATAAGTTTACATATAATTCTTACTATAAACGCTTAGAAAATAAGTTTTACTTTCAATCTAATCATTTCTAATGCAATTATAATTTCTCGTTGCACTTGCGTACTCATCACACGCTAATTATGCAAATCAATAACCAGTTAAAAAACGCATCTGTCACATAAACACCCATGACACAAACGTGTTGAATTACTTAAATGTACGACGCAACAACGACATATTACTGATTCCTTTCAATCAGAAATTAAAAAAGTTTCGGTTTTGTTTCGCGCTTCGCAGTCTTGCGACGCAGTTCGTGCGAGGCGGTCGACGCGCAGTGAAGAAGCGGACCAGACACGACGTGGTACAGTTACAACAAACAAGAAAGAAAGCGGCGCCGATCAAGATCTTGACCATTGATAGTTATAGCAGAGGAAGAAGAAGAAGTGCATTGCCATGGGCGTCTTGAGTTCCAAGTGCAGGTCGACGGCGCGTCTTGATGGCAAAACCGTCGTTATTACTGGATGCAACACCGGCATTGGCAAGGAATGCGTTAAGGAGTTTTATCTGCGAGGTATGCACTGGAATTCGCTTGATTAATAATAAGGAAGTCGACGGTTAACATTTACAAGGCAATTACATTGCGAAACGTTGAGATTGAACTAGATTAATGCAATTAAATTAAAATTTCTGTTGTAATTTTGAAGAATTTGTGTTTATATTGCATAAAAATGCATATTTGGTTGCATAAGTACTAAATTACCGTTCGACACAATTTGTGTTCGATATTTTTCATAATTACGCGTTAATATAATGTAGAAATATTGTATTTTCACTCATATTACATGTATAAATGTTAATTTGTTTGACCTAGTAAATTTTCTTGATTGCTCATTGCCGAATTCCAAGTGGACGCTCGAAGTTCATTGCTCAAGAGACTTGAAAAAACTCTAGATTATTACATAACGGAATAAATACTCTTACGCACCGAATAAATATTTGTACTTATTGAAATTTATGATTTCTTTTCTGTGCGATAGGTGCCAAGGTAATCATGGCGTGCCGAAATCTCGAAAAAGCCACCTCCGCTCAGACAGAAGTGGAAGACGAGTGCAAAAACGCGCCGAATGTGGGTTCCATCCAAGTGGTTAAACTGGACCTCACAAGTTTACGCTCCGTGCGTGAATGTGCGAAGAAAATCAGCGACAACGAAGAGAAAATCGATATTTTGCTGAATAATGCTGGTGTGATGATGTGTCCAAAAGATACGACCGAGGATAACTTTGAGATGCAGATTGGCACTAATCATTTCGGGCATTTTTTGTTTACGCTGTTATTGTTGCCGAGGATTATTGCTAGTAATAGTCAACCGGCGCGGATTGTAAATGTTTCATCAATGGCGCATTGGCGTATATTTGGTAGGTGTAAAAACAAAATGGCGGCGTAGGTTATTGATTTTTTTGTGTGTTTTAGGTGGAAAAATGAATTTTGATGATTTAAACTGGAAAACACGGCGGTACAATTCAATTAATGCTTATGCTCAATCCAAACTGGCAAATGTTTTGTTCACCAAGGAACTGGCACGTAGATTACAAGGTAAAATGCGTTAAATTAAATTAAATTCAAGTAGAAAACGACTAATAAGTTACTCTATACAATATCTGCTTTAAAATAACTTTGAATTTATATAATTACACATTTTAATAGCAGCCATCTTGAATTTTATCAGTTTCTGCTTTTATCTTGACGGCCATGTTGTTTTCCAACACTAAATCAGCTTTTTTTTTGCAGAAGCTGGTATAAATCATGTTCACACTTATAGTCTACACCCTGGCGTGATAAAAACTGAACTAGGACGTAATCTTGACCAGACTTTCTTCAAAGGAGTGACATTTTTGTTTCTTACATTTACTACGTTCATGTGTAAGTCACCGCAGCAAGGCGCGCAGACAAGTATCTACTGCAGTTTAAGTGAAGACTGCGCTAAGGAAACAGGATTATATTATCAAGAGTGCAGTAAAACAAATCCTTCCTACAGAGCGAGGAACAAAGAGGACGCAAAACGCTTGTGGGAAGAAAGTTTACTGCTCACTGGATTGGGACCAGACTATAATTTTCTAAATCCATAAAAATTTCATGCGAAAACGTACGATTACTCATAAAGTATTTCATGTTTAGTTAATCTTAGCTTAAATTTACTATTGTGGATGTTTTCGTGTTTGTTTAGTGATAATATTTAGTGTTTTTTCTTTGTGTTTGCGTTTAGTTTACAAACAATGTGTAAAAATGTGTTTTTGTTATTGTTTTCAAAACAGTTTGGATAATATAGGCAACACATGTAACACATTAAACATTGTTTTTGCTGAAAATCAGTTATTAATAACTTTAAAAGTTAATATTTGTTGTTATTCGTTAGATAATAAGTAAAATGTAAGAATTGAAGTTTAAAAAATCAATGTTTTTGATGTTTTGAAGTGATTATTATCAATTTTGATGCAAAAAATAGGATAAGAAGTTGAACATTTGCAAAATTGTGCAATATTATACAAAAAAGGTTGGAATGCTGAATAAATAACTTCCGGACCTAAGTATTTCATGTTTAGTTAACCTTTGTTTTTTTGTGTTTGCGTTTAGTTTACAAACAATGTGTAAAAATGTTTTTTTTTGTTTGGTTTAAGTTATTTATAACAAACAACTCATTTTTGAAGCAATTTGGTTCGATATAGGTAACACGTTTAACACATTAAACATTATTTTCGCTGATAATCAGTAATAATTGATAACTTTAAAAGTAAGAATTTGTTGTTATTCGTTAGATTATAAATAAAATGTAAGATTGAAGTTTAAAAGATGATTGTTTTTGATGTTTTAAAGTGATTGTTATCTCTTTTGATATAAAAAAAATAGGAAACAAGTTGAACACCTGCAAAATTGTGCAATATTATACAAAAAAAAAACGTTGGAACGCTGAATAAATAACTTCCGAACCTATTTTTTGTTGCTACTTGTGAAATTTCGCGAAATATTGCAACTGTGAATGAATTTGATGATGATTCACGTACATTCCACAAAATGGACGCCGGGTTACGGTTCATGAGCCAATAATAACTGCAATTATCGCAAATACCATGACGTACCACGACCTTAATGGGAGGAAGGTGCGGAATTTTCTAATTTTACATACAATGACGATGTTTTGCTGTGGTATTGACAAGAATTTGGCGTTTATTCCCAACAACTCTTTAAACTCAACAAAATTACTGTTTCTGTCAGCATTGCGTAGTTTATTAGATCAAATAAAAGCATAGCAAATTTTACAATAGTTCACAACAGCAGTTATCCAAAAATTCAAAGAGTTGTTGCACATTCGCATCCGAAATTCTTGCCAATTGCCAGCGCATTGCCGTCTACCGTACATTAAAATAAATATCCATCTTTTAGCACACGCCGTTTTTTCGTTCTTGCATTCGCTTCGCTTTTATTGATACAAAAGTCAATATTTCCAAAAATATTGTGTAGTAAATGCTTCATAAAAGTTGTCCCACGAGTAGGAAGTAAGCCTAAGAGTTGTACAGTATTACAAAGTTTCAGTTGGTTTTTTGCTCGTTTCTATCCTCGTACAAAAAATATCTCAGTTCGCAAATTTCCTCATATAAATTCTATTCGGTCATAATCAAATTAAAATAAAAACAAAAATTCGGAGCTTCTCTATGATCAAAAAAGCAAGAAAAAAAAATAAACAGAATCAATCACAAAGTCTCGTTATTAAAACCTATTCGGAATTCTTCTGTAAATCGTGTAACTATGGAAGAGATAATATTTATTATATTATAGTATATATGTAGTAAAAAAACAACTGATGGAATTGTAAGTGGAGTCGGCTACTTCTTCTTCTGTGCCTTTTCGGCGGCTTTTGTGACCTTGCCGGCAGCGGGGTCCTTGAATGATACGGACTTGATGACACCGACAGCGACCGTTTGCCTCATGTCACGCACGGCGAAACGTCCCAGAGGTGGGAACTCCTGGAATGACTCGACGCACATCGGCTTGGACGGCTGCAGGATGACGATGGCAGCGTCACCAGACTTGATGGCCTTGGGGTTGTCCTCGGTGGACTTGCCGGAACGACGATCGACCTTCTCCTTGATCTCGGCGAATTTGCAAGCAATATGTGCGGTGTGGCAATCGAGCACAGGCGTGTAGCCGTTGGAGATCTGACCAGGGTGGTTGAGCACGATTACCTGAGCGGTGAAGTCGGCGGCGCCCTTGGGTGGGTTGTTCTTGGTGTCTCCGGCGACGTAGCCACGACGCAATTCCTTAACGGAGACGTTCTTGACGTTGAAACCGACATTGTCGCCGGGCACGGCCTCCTGCAAGGCTTCGTGGTGCATCTCCACGGACTTGACTTCAGTGGTCAGGTTAGCGGGGGCGAACACAACGACCATACCGGGCTTCATGACACCGGTTTCAACACGACCGACTGGTACTGTTCCAATACCGCCAATTTTGTACACGTCCTGAGATAAAATACACAATTAAACATTTGCCAATCAACCCATTTCCTAATTTGTTAATTAAAGTTGATAAATCAGTAAAGATTAAGCCATTAAGTCACCACTAAATAATCTGACCATTAAAAATTATCATCATTTAAACAAGGCGGCAAAGGTAAGTAGTAATTATTTACCTGGAGTGGCAGACGAAGGGGTTTCTCGGTGGGACGAGATGGGGGCAGGATAGCGTCCAAAGCTTCGATCAGGCACTTGCCGTCAGCCTTGCCTTCCTTGCGCTCGATGTTCCATCCCTTGAACCAGGGCATCTTGGTGGAAGCTTCCAACATGTTGTCGCCGTGCCAGCCGGAGATGGGCACGAAAGCAACAGCGGCCGGATTGTAACCGATCTTCTTGATGTAGGAGGAGACTTCCTTCTTGATTTCCTCGAAACGGCCCTCATTGTATGGTGGCTCGGTGGAGTCCATCTTGTTGACACCGACGATGAGCTGTTTCACGCCCAAGGTGAAGGCGAGAAGAGCATGCTCACGGGTCTGGCCGTTCTTGGAGATACCGGCTTCGAATTCACCAGTACCGGCAGCAACAATCAACACAGCGCAATCAGCCTGAGAGGTACCAGTGATCATGTTCTTGATGAAATCTCTGTGGCCAGGGGCATCGATGATGGTCACATAGTACTTGGCGGTTTCGAACTTCCACAGGGCGATATCGATGGTGATACCACGCTCACGCTCGGCCTTCAGTTTGTCCAACACCCACGCGTACTTGAAGGAACCCTTACCCATTTCCTGGGCTTCCTTCTCGAACTTCTCGATCGTACGCTTGTCGATACCGCCGCATTTGTAGATCAAATGACCGGTGGTGGTCGACTTGCCGGAGTCGACGTGACCGATGACGACGATGTTAATATGAACCTTTTCCTTGCCCATGTCTGTTCGGAAACGCCACGAATTAATTAGGCATCACAGACAAGATGAAAATCGATGATACAAGGCGGAATTTTGATGAAACATGAGTCGAAACACGATGCATACGCATATGGCCAACATGGCGGACGCTGTGCATAGCGGCCGGGGACACGTACACGTGGTGCGAATCATGTTTTGTAAAATATCGCGTGAAATACGTGATGGAATCGCTTCAAATTGCATGCACTAGATGTGTAAACAATGGATGATAAGAAATTGTACTTACTTGCTTTGTTTGTGGTGTGTTAAACCAAGTGCAACTTGAAACTTGTCGGCGAACTAACGGAGTCAACCGCACCGGACGAAGAGTCAGACAGAAAGGAGGATTGAGCTGGAGTCGGACGGCCTTAACGTGCTCCCACTGCTACTGGTCGACGTCACATCCGAGCACGCGCAGTGCGCAACAAGTGGTTACACTACCGGATGTACGCCGAAGGTGCCCTCTAGATAAATTCAAAGATAATTTCACAATATTTCGATAATAGATAAAAATATGAATAAAACATCGGAGTAAAAGTAAAAATATATCTTATCATAGTATATTCAATGTCTCCATATACTTTAGTAGCATTTTTTTAGGTATTTGCATTGAAAACTATGAAAACGTTGCACACAACGTGGTTCACATGACAAACACGATGAAGCACGATGAAAATGCCGAGCATGGCGAGTCATTCAACCAGCTTGACCTTGATTACGAATCAACGTGTTTTATGCATTATTAAGCTTTTTGATTAGCTCCATTAGGTTCAAAATGTAAACCATGCATTATTTGCAAGATTCTAATTTGTTGCACGCTAAAATTCTTAAAACTTGCATTAAAAAACTCAAACAGAAAGTATTTATATAGCCTATTTGCAGGCAAGTTAATGATGAATTTATGGGACACTTAAATATACATTTAAAACAATGTTAATTATGTTGTAATTAGTTGTAATGTTCACAAATGAACATTTCAACAAGTTACGCCATTTCTAACAAAATACAACCAATCAGCCACTTTTGGTATGATTCACACCAATCCTACGTCTTTATTTCACGGTTTGAATCTCAGCTATGTTAAGTTCAACTTTAAGCCAATACGCCGCGCTACAATCGCTATTTAACGAATTTAGTTTAAATGGTAGCCGCTTTTTACCAATGGTGCGCGTGCGCCATGCGCCATCTTGTCGATGTTTGTCGATGATTACGCTCGGATTTCCTAGCATCGCGCGAATGTGTGCATCGTTTGTGTGTATGCGCACGAGAAGTAAGAAGTACGCGTCGTGGGTGTAGGTTAATTCGTGACGAAGGGTGCATTCTCGGTGCGAAATAACGTCTTCGGCGTCCATAATCACCAACCCTGAGTGTGCAACCATCCATTGCAGTATTGTGCGTCGCGAATATCACCGCCTGCTTGGGCGAAAATGCGCCTGCCAGGCACACGTACGACCTCCGCTGCGTAGATCGAATTCCTAGTATTCGAGAGAACGATGCACCATCACAGCTATCCCAGCTCGTGGAATTCGTGTGCGTAAAACAACATTCGCATTGAAAAACTTTCTTGCAATTGTCACTGCGATTTGTTACGTGGGTGATAAACAGTGATAAAACTGAGATAAACAACAAGAGCAGGTCAGTGCACCTGAATTTGTGTTTGTGTCGAGACGTGGATTTATTAAATGCTGAACGTGATTGATAACATCAGCGTAAGTAAATTGATTTTATTTCTTCACTTTGGCGTGAAAATAAAACGCGCAATCTGTTAGCGCGGTCAAAATGGGTGGACCAGTGTGCATTGTGATAAAAACAATCGCGGACCAATCACAATCAACCACCACCTTCATTTGTTTCAGCGTAAACAAATCATAACAGGTATACATGCGCAAGAATACATCAGTGGGATATTCGCTGAAAGTTATTCTATTATCTATTATCATATTCAATCATCATTTATTCGCATTGTGGTTGGGAAGGAGGAAGAAACGCGTCGCGCGCGCCGAGAACATTCACAGAAGCCAAGCTCCGCGCTGCTGCTTTTTCTTCTCTTCACTACTTCTTCGGTTCGTGTGGCTGCGCGCTGCCGCTGGTAGTAGTGTAGTTGTAGCACGAATGACGGCCCGGCCGGATTCCTGGAAGCGTATTTTTCGTGCCGTGTGTACACAACAATTACGGAACACACGAACGCCCGTCGCTCGGGAAGGCGAACGCAGTTGCCTGTGCTGCTACGCTACTCTTACACACAGACACACATCAACACACGGCGTGTGCTTGCATTGCGTTTCGTGCTGCATGCACACTGCTCCCGGCCGGCGACCGGATTTGCTTTATGGCCTTTACGATTCGAGAGAAACGCGCCCAGGGAGCCCCGTGAGCCCGGGGAACCCAAAGGCTTCTTGATATTGAATAATAAATCAGACATTGTACGCATTTTATTCACGTTCGGGAAAAAACACAGATAAATCTCATCTAAGGGTATAAAGTCTATAAATAGATAAGTAGCCATCTTGAAATGTTAAAAAAACTTGAGTTTTCTTCGTTATTTTGGGAAAATATCACGTAAAAAGTGAAAGAAAAGTATAATTATTGATATCTAATTATTTTGTCTCATATTTTGACATTTTATAAACAAATTATTGCTATTTTTCTTATCCTAGAAGTAAATTAGCAAATTTATTGATATAGGCAACACATTTAACACATTAAACTTTGTTTCTTGTTATAATCAGTGATAAACAACCTAAAAAGTTAATTTTTATTTTTATTTCTTAGGTAATAACGAATATATACCTCAGAAAATTAAAACATTATTATGTTTGTGATATTTATATACTTAGTAATTAAGATAATTAATACACTTTGTTTGAAGAAAAATGCAAGCCTTGGTGTTAAATTTAACACTGGTAGCTGACGGTAACAAAAGTGTACGCATGGCGCAGGTAGCAGGAACAAACAACAGCACATAATGTGATATTTATGGTGCTCCACCTTTGACCATCGCCTTTTTTTTTATCTCTGCGCTTGTTTCATTCACTTTTTTCCCTTTTACGCGTCAGGCCACATTTCTCTATTGTGTTTGCCCTTCTCGCGGTTGACTGTTTATGGCATTACGTTTTGTTTTCTCTGTTTACCGATTCGAGCTAATCGTTCGTCGATGCGTGCCGCGTACTTTCTATTTGTGCGCCAGCTACACAACACTCGCAGAATATGTGCTGGTTTTTTCGCGTTGCAGCAGTGTTTTATCAGTAGCGACGCGTGCGGGAATTACAACTCGTCAAATATGCGAGTTGACGTCTTTGCATTCATAATAAAAAAACAGCAGATAACATTACCAATTGTTTGCGCGTTCAATTGGTAATTTTTTCAGTTTTGTTATCAAAGGTCGCGAAGAGAAGAAGCAAACAAACGTTGCGCTTGCCCCGCAGCAACATCATCCTACCGAGAAGTACAGAAATAGTGTCCGCTGCGTGTGTTTTCAATCATTGTTTACATAATTGTTACGATCATCAATGCTAACGCGCAGTGTATACACACCACACATGCAATTGCGTTTAGTACAATTTGTTCACTATTTGCATGCCCTGTTCCCAACCAGAACCAGTGAAATAACACGAATTGTAAAAGCATCGCGCGACAATTTCGAATTTGAAACACTTCCAGGAAGAGATTTCGGTCGGTTGCGAATTTGTTTTGGCATTACACACGCGATGCGAATCAAGACGTGTGCTTCGGCGAAACTCACTCAGCGTGGGTGAATCAATGCACACACATAATCTAATCAACATTTTCGTTATGCACAAAGGATGATAGAGTATATTCTGATTGCAGGCAATCATGTCGTCTCCGCGGAGCTTATTTAAACGCTAGTTACATCGCAGTGGATTAAAAAATGGCGTGGAAGTTGATTGCGGCAGCATTGCTGCTGCATATAGCCACGGCGCAGAAATGTGCGCTAATTACCAACGGACTGGGTTACACATCTCCATCGGGGGATATTCTCATACATCACAAAGTGGACGATCTGGATCTGGAGTGTATTATTAACAAGCCGGAGGTTTTGAGGAAGTATCCCAACACTGCGAATGATTGGCTGCAGTTTAAACACGGGAATAGCCTGTTGAACTTCACGAAAGTTGCCGGGGATGGTGCGAGGATTCATCTGCATGTTGATGCTGATAAGTTGGAGGTAAATGAGACATGCCCGACGTATTCGTGTTTGTGGAGGTCGGAGATTGTGTGTGACAATGTTGTCTGCGTTGGAAGTAAGTTAAACAGTGAATAATTCAAAGGAAAATGTGTATATTTAATATTTTTTGTTTTATTTTATTTCAGCACCACCGAAACCCAAGGATTTTAAATGTATAAGTTATAATAATGATAATTTTACATGCACGTGGACTCATCCGGAAAACGGCATCAAACCAACGATTTACAATGTTTCTTATACAGTACAAAGTCAACGGTGAGTAAAACTTCATTTTGAATGCATAAAACATGAAAATTTATTGTGTTTTTGTTATTTAACAGACAAAAAGTAACACCTTGCCCGCATACACCAATATACAACATGGCCGACCGAAGTTACAAGTGTGTCTGGACATTGACTTCAACACCATCCTATCGGCAGTCATCTGAATACTACAACATAACCCTCACGGCATCTAATAAATTAGGAGATTATAGAATAAATCTTCCTGTATTTCATCACTTTGCGCATATAATCCCCAACAAACCCGAGGGTTTGGAAGTTGTGAACAGTACAACATCATCGCTTTACCTGCGATGGGGAATACCAGCGACCATTCAACACCGGACGCTTCAATACCGCGTGATGTACCAATGCGGGCTGGAAATGCCCGAAAGAGTACGTGATGGCACATTTAAACAAGCCATCATTGACACTGTCAGTGAAAAATCCTCCTGGACGTTCAACCTGACAAATCTACCACATCCACATGATTTGTGCGATGTGAGAGTCTCGTTGCGCATTAATTTAACGCGAGATGAAGGCATGTGGTCGCAGAATGCTACGCTGTATACGCTGACAGCGCCTACGGTGCCCGGACAAGGACCACAGGTGGACATGGGCAGTTTCAAGCATATTAACGACACCGCCGTGCGTATCTATTGGCATCTTGTGCCGGCGGAGTTCCACAACGGGCCGAAATTAGAATACGACGTGCGGGTGGTTCGCGGAGCTGGTAATGTGATTATCGATCGCACGCGCCAGATGAAAAACTCGGCGGTTATCGGAAATCTGAGCTCGAATCAGAATTACACCTTTGCGGTGTATGCTCGGAATGAAATCGGACCGCAGATCACTCCGCATGCGCATATTACGATTCCAGCGCAGTATCAGCGGCCGTATCAAGTGCGCGAGTTGAAGAAGATTGAAAATACGAAAGGATTTAAGCTCAGTTGGAAGCCGCGCTTCCCTGACAATGAAAACCCGATTGTAAACTATACAGTTTTCTGGTGTCGAGAGATAACTAAATCTTTCAATGAGGATTGTAATGGCGACTGGGAATGGGCGACTGTGCCACGTGACCAGAACGAATCCAAGTATGAGTATAACACTTCGTTGAATGTGAATAGTACAACATCATTTCGTGTTGCAATTGCGTCGAATTCCGAGCGGGGCAGCAGTGGAATGTTCTTCCCGACGTGTGAAGAGTCCGGGGAACAGATACCATCGATTAATTTGATCAAACCCACGCAGTTTGGCGACACATCGGTGAAACTCAACTGGATGGTGAAATGCACCACTGAGGGGATTGCGAATTATACGATTGAGTATTGTATCGGCGATCAGGTTTCGCACGATTGCAGAAGCAAGAAGAGGTCGAGTGTGAACGTGGATGGCAGTGTTACCGAATTCACCATCGGTAATCTAACGCCGTACGCGACTTATCTCTTTACGATTTACCCGACGATGAAAAACGGCAATAAAGGCAAGACATCTGATCCTGAGCGTGTTACTACCATGGAAGGAAAACCCACTGAACCGTTGGATCTGATTGCTACCAAGGTTACGAATACATCGATTGCGTTGGAGTGGAAAAAACCGGAGACTGCGAATGGGTTTATCAGCTACGATATTTTGAATAATAGCGTTAGGGTGGCGTCAAATATTAAAGATACTGTAAGTTTTTATTTAATATTTAAAGTAAGTAAATGTTTTTATTAATTAATTATTTGTTTTAGAATTATTCACTCGAGGGATTAACTAGTTATGATCTTTACAATCTCACGGTTGTCGCATGCACATCGAATAAATGTTCAAATCCGTCAAATTGCATTTCTCTGCGGACATTAATGGGCACGCCAGGGCGTGTCAAAGCACCCACGGCCAAGTCTATCAACACAACAGATATATTTATTGTTTGGAGCAAACCGACTGATCCTAGAGGGCCTGTCACCTATGAAGTGCTTGTGGATGATGGTGAAGTTAACACATTCACCAACAAATTAGGTAATATACTTTTAAAATTTATTTTTAATATTATTTTACTAAATATATTTTGTTTTGTTTTATTTTATCACAGAACTTTACCACTATAAATGTGTGCAAAAATCCACATCATTTACTCTGACGGTGCGTGCGGTGAATCATGACGAAGATCTCAACAAAACCTACTACGGTGATTGGAGCGATGAATTCAAAGGGAGTTGCTCGCCGAGCATGGGCTGGTTAATTCCGCTCCTCATTGTTCTGAGTTTTCTCCTTGTTGGTCTTGCGTACTTCAGCAAAAGACTATACACACGCTGTAAGAAAATGCAGGACATCGATGTGAAACTACCATCTACGCTGATCATGCATAAGGATACATCTGCATGGCCCTCGCAAAACGATCCGAACATTCGTGATCCGAAACCTCCTTCAGCTGCTGACGAAGAATTACTCTTGCAATCGCGTCCGGAAGGTCTTAAAACTCCATATGTTGGCGATTCGAGCGGTTGTAGTTCAGCACAAGGCAGTGTTACATCAGAATCTGAAGGCACTTTCTCAGCAGCTTCGGATTCAGGCACCGAACAAAGCGAGTTGCGCAAGCGCTCATTCCGCAACTCCTCGAAGACCTCACTTTTGGGTGCTGAATGTGGCGGCACTGGAAAGAATGAGAGTTATTCACAGGTCGGGATGAATATGGGCATTGAATCGAATCCGCTCGCGGAGATGGACGATGTTATTCCGAAACCTTCACTCTGCACATACATGCAACCGTATGTCGATGCAAATCCGGTAGTTAATCGACCGCCGGAAACGGCGAATTCATCGTATGTGACTGTTGCTCAGGCGCGCAGTCTGCCCAAACCCAAAGAGGAGGCGATCACCGTCAATAAGCCGTACGTGCAAGTGGCGGACATCAAATCAGTGGGTATGAAACGCGAGCCGCCGCAGGTAGACGCGAATCGATCGTATGTAACCGTCGGGCAAATGCCACAAATGAAGCTTTTCAAGGAGGATTGAAGACGTAAAGAGAGAAGAAAATGTGCAATGGGACGTTTTAAGTTTTTGACAAACAAACAAGTAGCAACGAATTTTGCGCCACACACAACTCATACATTAGCTAATAAGAGATATTTTTGTAAATAATTTATTTGCATACTTGTAATGCAGCAGCAAGCACAGCATGACTGTTCAACACATATTTTCCTAACCCTTTTATAATAATGTACTGCATGCTCAGATTTACCTGCGTGCACTGATTGCACCTCTGTAATTGTGTGGTGTACAACAACTCATATGGGATACGTATATGATGGACTGATATTTTTTTTTTATATGAAAAGAAATCCACGTACCAATGAGCGATTGAGATTGAATGTGCCTTGCGATGCAAGCGGAAATCTTCGGAAGTGAATAATTGTGATGAAAGTAGTTAAGAATTAATCGGGCGTCAAGTATGCAGAGCTTAATTGCCATTTATATTAATTGTTATAATACTTACATAGTATATTTAATAATTGTAAACAATACTACAAGCCAGACCTATGAGAACCGTCATTTTAGTGGAATTTAGTAACGAACTTGCCGCTGAGAATTGAAGAATTCTTATACTTGTTACATTTGTGAACTTGATACACATTTGTTATTCGTGTTACAATGGTTAAAGACTATTTGAAGGTAGATGTGATGTCAATTCGGAATCCGGCCTTGCTTACTTAGGAGTTGCAAATTTTTAAACAAAGTTAATGGATTATTGTCTATTAGTGTAACACGCATTTATATACTTTGCTCAGTTCTGAATAGGATTACTTGGGTCTACTGCTAGGTTCCACCATGATCTTATTTATTCGTTAAGCCGCCGCCTTTTGAAACAAATGCACAACTCATTCGCATGCGCATTTTGACACCGGAATATTTGTTACGCATCCTGTAAATATTCATCATCTTATTCATCCAGCGCTAAGTTTTAACGTACACATGTATTGCGTCACACACAAATTGTAATAATTGAATACTGATGAAATGTATACTTAGAAATAGTTACATTTAGAGTTTCGCACCTGTACATATGTTGCCCCTACAAGCATATCATTGTTCCTTTAATTGATTTATGAATTTTATTGATTACGAATCTATAGAGATGTACATGTATTGTACTCGTGTGTACAATCAACTATTCAATGTATTCAGATTGATTGTATATCGGTAGGAATAGGATGTATTTTGTTACGAAACAGCCGGAGGGGAATGTTGTGGACGTGGATGATTGGAATGGAGTAAACAAGAGTGCTGGAGGAAGCTGCTTTGTCTTTATAATAATCCATGATAAACAAATATATTTATCGCATTTGTAATTAATTTCTTTGAATTCAGCCTTGAATAGAAGTTTCAAGTTGATTTAAATGCAGGCATGTAACAATGCTGGTCAGTCTGTTGGTGAACGGTTAGGCAACCATCAATACAGGAATTTCAGCACAAATGTTCTAAATATAATCAATGTGGCAAAATAATTACACTTTTATACACGTTTTTCTGATTTATAATATAATATAAATACTAGTTTGGATCTTCAGCATTTCTGTAACACGACAAAAACAATCCTTACTAATATTATAAATGCGTATGTCCTGAAGTTTATCGTGCTTTCACGCAAAAACTACTTAACAGATCATCATAAAAATTTGTACACATATTCTTAGTGGTCCCCGATAGGTTATAGGCTACTTTTTATTTAATAATAATAATTATTTTTTGAAATAAAATAAAGAAATTGTTTAGTCACTAATACCTCTGCATCTGGTTATTTGACTACTTTAACGCCATCTAGCATTCCAGCAATGAAGCTCACACTTAAGTACTATAGTACCATCACACTGTATTACCGACACCTACGTCAACATCAAATCCGTACACATATTCTTAGTGGTCCCCGATGGTCCCCGAATGGTTATAGGCTACTTTTTTATTTAATAAAAAAAATTATTTTTTAAATAAATAAAGAAATTGTTTAGCCAATAATACCACTGCATCTGGCTAATTGACTACTTTAACGCCATCTAGCATCCCATCTAAAATTTAAAACTTTATTGCATGTTGTAATTTTTTCACATAGATAATCCTAGCCAAGCAGTGGCATACATTCTTTCATTCATACATTCTTTCTATCAATCCGTTTCAACTATGTATAATAATTTCTAATATTTATTTGATGGATTCAACGCGAGCGAAGCCGCGGGTTAAAGCTAGTTATTTATAATTTTTAACAAAATTGGCACCTATAGCGACATCTGGTGGCAAAACTTATAACATATCAAATGAAATTTTCAAAATAAGACGAAAATACAGCCCTTTCTTAAACCTTTCAGATTATTTCCCTGTATTTGTTATTAAAGTTGATTTATTAATTGTTTCTTATGCTTGAAAAATAGTTTCATGTTGTGCTGTCTAATCCCTAAATTAAATTACACATGTAATTTTTTGTTCTCACTGCAAACCGCCTGTCATCAACAGTTGTTGAGACTCGCCCGACGAATGATTAGTTTATTTACAAGAAACACAAATACACGGTTGTGCCACTGTGGCAAACCATTTGGTTTTGTTTAATTGCGTGCTTAATTAATGTTCTACAATGTTGAAACCTACGCGCCCCTTGTATCTGGCCAAAACGCTGCCAGAACTCAGTAAACTCTGCACCAATCAGTCTTATGGCAAGAAACTACCATTGTAAGAATATTATTTATTATATTTTATTGTTTTATAACAAACTATTATATATTATAAGAATTAATATGGTTTTTAACTTTAAATAGTAAAGTTTATAATTTTTTTCTTTTAGGTTATACAGAGCTTCAGATAAATTAGCCCAGAATGTATTTGATGGAAATCTGGACCTTCCCGTGGATGAGGAAAAGCTTTATATACTTGCAATGCGTTATATTAATCTTATTAATACAATACGCGTCCAGGTACATGATGAAAAGTTCTTTTCAACAAGATTTGCATCCACCTTGAGGAAGGTTGAAGAGGTGAAGTTAGAGGTTCTAAAATCACTTACTCTAAGATATGATATGCTCACAACACCAAATATTGCTGCTGGTGAGATTAAATCAGGGCTGTATGATGGTGGCAATGCAGAGAAGCTTAACAAATCAAATATTGTTAAGGATAATGGTAATTACTATGTTTTTATTGAATTTTAAGCAAAAAATTGAATGTTTTCACTTAATTTAGCATGCAAAACTAATAAATTGTGGTTTTAGATGTTTATATCAGTCCTCATCAGTTGTATGCATTAATGAATGATAAAACAATAAAGCTTCTCATCATGGACGCGCGACCAAGCAACGAATATGCCCAATGTGCTCTTAAATTCAACAATATAATCTGTTTGCCTGAAGAAATCATTCACAAAGGGTAAATTTACACATTATTCACATTATTATTTACCAAAAAAACTAATAAAATTTGTTTTAGTCTCTCAACAAACACTCTACAACAAAAATTATCACCATCAACCTCAGAAATATTCAAAACTCGACACGATTTCGACTATATTGTCCTAACAGACCTGGACACCAATAAAATATCATACCAAACAACAAAACTGCATGATCTACGAACAATTCTAATCGAATGGGATCCCGAGCAGCGATATCAAACTCTTCCACTTATCCTCGAAGGAGGTGTACGTGGCATGGCGGACAATTACCCAACACTCCTAACAAACCCCGGCAATATTTTCAATCAACTCTTTCATCAATTCGATGATTTAATGAAGGACGACATTGAATATCCAGATGTTCAACTTTTGGAATCGCCTGTTTCGAAACGTATTCCACATCAACCAGATGATTCAGGTTTCACATCAGAAGAATACAATGATTATCCAGAAGAAGTACCAGAAGAATTAGAAGTTCCTTCAGGTGATAAACAAGTATCTATTCATGCTGTAGCTCAAAGACTGCTCACAGTCTGTGAACATCAAGTGGCACTTGAAGAGAAACTTCTTAAACTGACCAAAAAACGCTTGGAAACAAAACGCAATGCAATAACAGGTAGTTTAACGAAGAACGAAGCGCATACGATATTAAACGAGATCTCCAAAGAGATATCCCAGGCAGAATCTTATCGTTTGGAGATAGAAGAAAGGCGGCGATTGATTCGTAAAGATTTCGATGACAAATGTCAATCGGAAGATGTAGGCTACCTTGATTACATCTTCAAAGATGTATCATCACTGGAAAAGAAACGATTGTTGCGGTATCAGAAACGAAAACTGTTAGAACACGAAGAAGCAGAGTTTGATAAGAATTCATCGAAACCTGGCGAGCCTAAATATGACCCACGCTTGAAACCGAAGAGTTTAACAGGGTTGCCTATACCGGACAGATCAACTAAACCCCAAGCAGCCAACACACTCGAACTGGAATTAAACGCATTGATACAAAACTTTCCAGATTCTGGTATAACAGGTCTCGTAAACATCAAAAACACATGCTATATGAATTCTCTGGTACAATGCTTGAGATTCTGCCCGTCTGTGGCGTATTTCTTCACGATGCGCACCTTTCCAATCGGTAGATTAACCAATTCTCTCTCAGACTTGATGAAAAAACTATGGACTGAAACTCGCGTTGCCATTCGCCCGCATAACTTTTACAATGAATGCTGTCAGTTGCAGTCACGCGATTATTCCACCGGTGAACACGAGGATATCCACGAGTTCTTTCTGAATGTCACGAATGCGATGCATAAAGAACTCGCGGAGCCTCTAGAATCCTCTGGGGATTGCACATCGTATCTCTTGGACTGGCACAAGCACTTCAAGAGTAAAATTTCGTTCATCAAACGTACTTTCTTTTACCAACTGGAGGTGACCACGAGTTGTTCCCGGTGTAATTCACGAATTGTCAAGTACGAGTATGATAACAATGTGTTTTTGAGTATGGATTATGATCAACAGCGGCCAATCAACGTGCAGAACGAGGTGGATAAGTTGATTTATCCTAGCAAAGATCCATCCTCACAGAAATACTGCTCGAAGTGTGAGGTGGAAATGAATATTGCGCATAGAGTCACGTATTACCCCAATGTTTTAGTGGTGAATATCATGCGGTATACTTATAGTATAAAAGAGAAGTGTGTGTTGCGGTCGTTGAATGAGGCGTATTTTCCGATGGAGTTGGCGTTTGGCAGTGCACGGTATAATCTAAGCGGGATTGCGTGCCACAGTGGGAATAGAGATCGAGGGCATTACACCGCGTGTTGTTATCATCCCTCAGCGAAGAAATGGATCGAATTTAACGATGAGAATTGCTCGGTGGCGAATGTGAAAGATTCCAACTATCGAGTGAGAGCTTTCTTGTTATTCTACTCGCTTGCGCCACAGTATGACGGTATAAACAGGCAGTTCTTCCAAAAATGATCATGATCATGAATCAGCTAAGATTTTAGTATATTTGAGTTGGAATGACTCGAATATATGTAAAATCAACACATTGTGATATATATTCTACAGATTAGTTTATAACCTGCATTTCTGTATATTTGTTTAGTCATATTGTTGAATTTTATTGTGATTATGAGTTAGCTCACTGTTGTTGTATGCAAATGAATAATTCAAAGTTTAATTAACTAGTGAATGATGAAAATATGAGAAACTATATTTTATTATCGCATATATTTTTAGTTTTAACGCGAATGCCTTATAAACTAACTTTTAAAGAAACTATTGAGAAGTGAAACATTGGAAACAATTGAGAGTCTGTATACAAATTGTATGGTTTTATTGTAATTTGATGTGGTTTTTAACTTTGTAACATCTTTCAAAGTAATAAAGTTTATAAAAATACACATCTGAATGAAAAATAATCAAATTAATACTTTTATTGCAAGTATTTAGCTTTTAAACACTGCTAAACTCAAATTTGTGATTAATTTTCATAAATTTCACCAAAACAACATTATTTTCATAGATAACAAGACAAAAACGTTATCGTTGATAATCTAATAATCGAAACATATTCACACAATGAATTAGACAACTATACAGTCATAATACGTGTGATAAAAGTGTGATAAGCGCATAGATAGATAATCTTATCATGTATTATTAAGAGTACTTGTTATACCCTCATCTGTAGCTTGAATTTCCAAGCCTTTCAACGTTTTAAACAAACAGCGCACTGCAGTTTACCTCAATATCGATTATTATTCATTTGTTTATTCGTGGAATGCACAAAACAGCTCATAGACGCCCGAAACAATACATTCACCATGTTTAAAACGCATGATTGTGACGCCGCTGAGGATCACACCACTGGTAACAAATAATCAATCCAATCATGCAATAAATATGTATTAATATCTAATAGAATATTTAGAATTGGCATCGCCGGTGTTCAATGAGCCAAATGATGATTTTCTTGTGTTGAATCAACCTACAAGCACACAAAATGAACAAAATGAACATACTGAACTGGAACAGTCTGATACGATGGATAGAGGTCAGTAATATAAACATTTTTAAAATGTTTTGTTGATTTTCTTGTTTTTTAGGGACGAGGAGACAAATTCCAATCTCTACCATCGATTGGCAGAGCACTAATAGTAGACAAGTGATGGCCCGTGATGGAATTGACTTCCTACGCGGTATTGATCAACTTTACATCCAACAAACCGTCGAATTGAGTGATTGTAAGTGTGAAAAGATATGAATTGTGGTTATGTTATACCTGACGGTTATTTTGTAGTGATGGCGAATGTAAACTCTGAAAACCGTTACCGTCTCTCTGTCCCGCATGGTGAAACATTGTTTTACGCCATGGAGAACTCTTCAGAGTCGCAAAGGATGCTTTGTGGGTCAAATCGTGGGTTTAAAATGACTATGTATGATCACACGCATCAGGAGGCTTTGTATTTGATGAGGAGTGCTACATTTGGATGTTGTTCGTTCTGGTGTAAAATGCAAGTAAGTATTTTATTACTTAGTTGAAATTGTAAACAAAAATTAACCTAAAATTTTGTTTTTTCTAAGAATATGGAAGTTTTCATCCCGAACAAATGCATCGGACGCATCAAACAAAAGTTTTCCATGACACTGCCTTCCTTTGAATTGTACAACGAATACAATTCAATCGTGTACCGCATCGAAGGTCCTGCATCATATATGAGTTCAGCGAAGGAAGCGCATTTTGGGGTACGGCGCCATTTTGTTTTCTTTATCTGTATTCAATTTGAGTGTTGTTTCATGCGTGCAGATTTACTCAAACGACGGATTAACTCAGCTGGGCAGCATCAACCATCAATGGGATCAGGTGCAGAACGAGTATAACATTTCGATCACGTTTCCCAGCCATCGGGACGATCCAAAGTACAAGGCTATTGTTATTGGCGCTGCTTTCCTTCTGGTAATCTCTTTGTATCTACGCATGCGCATGTAAATTCAATTAGATTTCATTTGTTTCAGGAATACATGTATTTCTTCCACACGAAAAAGTCAGGCAGCAGTTGTTGGTGTTGAAAACTTATCGCTACGCATTATATTTTATTATTTTTTGACATTTATGAAGTGATAATCATAGTATTTTTAGGTTATTGACTGTTTTTTGAAGGTTATGATTTTGATTTGTTTGATTTGTGCTTCCCAAATTGCTTGAACATAAAGAACACAATCGATTGTTGTTCGGTTCCTTGAGGCAAACACGAAATGAAGCCTTTTTTATGACAGAGTGGAGATTGATTAATAAATATTTTATGCCTTGTAGTTTAAGACGTCGTAAAATGTCTCACTTTTAGAACACAATATAAAATCGTTTACTGTTTACAGCTTTCACAGATTAGAGCTTTTTGCATAGCTGGGATTCATGTCACGTATAACAAACGACAAGATAAAGTGATAAAAAGAGTGGAAATAGACTGGAGACAAGCGACAAATGGCGGCGAACGAGTAAATAACGAAAATGCGAATTCTTCGACTGCGAAAAAGACGAGTTTTACAAATTGTAGATGGAGATTCGACGTGATAAAATCGTAATGGATGTAAATGGATTTGAGAGTGTTCACAGGACGGCTGGGAAATGTCCTGAATTTATTTACGAATGTCATCAGCATCCAGAAAACGCAATTTTCTTTTTTTTAGTGTTTTCTAACACGACAAGTGACAAATCCAATGCAATTCTAGTTGTAACAAGAAACAATTTGTTTAATTTACTTATGCACGTAGTGTGGGAAGTCTAACCTAGCAGTTAATCAAATCAAGCGACAGGTGAAAAAGGAAATATGCGTCGTAGTGCAACCGGAGAAGCGGGCAACGCGTGGGAATGTCAAGTGTTTCAGGTGTGTTCAGGTGTCGAGTGTCGAACAAAAGGCAGGCGGCGGCGGCGGCGGCGTGTGCGGCATAGGCGTGCGTGCGTGCGATATTGATTGAATCAACAGCTGGTGGGCGGTTGCGCGCGCCCTTGGTGTGCTGCGCGCCGCCGCCTCGCCGCCCAGCGTCGCTGCCGCCGCCGCCAGACACGACTCGAACCACGACCGGCGATGGTACGCGTGGCGATGGCGCCGCACCCGCTGCTGCTCGCCACGGTGGTGGTGGCCGTCGCCGTCGACGCCATAGACCTGAGCAGGCTCTATGGTCACCAGGGTTTCGTCAAACGTACCGGTAAGTCTTCCTAAAAATAAATTTCTAAATTAAATTTTACATTTCTACGCGCAATTATAAATGAACACAAGAAAACAAGCGAAATTTATTTGTTTCGCCGGTTATTTTGATGTTTTTGATGAATTTTCACGCGTCGCCATGTTGTTTGTTGATTTAACGTAAGAAGTTAATGATTTGCGGCATTGTGCGAGTGGTAACATTAAGAAAAGTTAATTTTCCGCTCGCGTTCAGTTGGAATTGTTCGGGAAGCGCCGCGCCGAACAAAAAGGGCAACCTGTTTGGGTGGCATCAACAGTTGTGTGTCGCAGTGCCCGTCATAAGATCGATAAAGAGGAAAAGGAAAGCGGGAAAGCGAGGAGCGGCGAAAAAGCGGCCAGAAATAGCCGCGAAAATGTTAAATCCGCCCTGCACAATAATTTTTCATCTAATTTTGGTACATTTTTTTATATTTTTCATGTTTGAAACGCTATAACTCGATAATTAAAAGTCGAAGATTAGTCAATGAGGTGTGTTTAGAAAGGCAATTTAATGAAGAATCATCGTTGAGAGTGGTAAATGTATACGAGTTGTCATTATTCTGTAATTAGAGAAAAAGTAATAATGTTGCATTAGCACTTGATTTAGTAATTGAAGTTGTAATCAGTAATAACTCCTAAACTAATCGTGATAAATGAAGTATTTTTGTTTCTATAGGTAGATAAAAACATGCTTTATAGTATAGATTACTTCTTGTTTAATTAAAATTAATTAATTTACAAATAATTAACAAAAAACAAAATTTTTATGAAAAAAATCATTTTTTTGTAGAAAAACCTAAATATTGCCTCTAATACTTATCAAAAATTAATTAACTTGTAATTTTTATACACATAATACTCTAAAAAACCCATCAAAGTTTAAATTTTTGTTTTAAAGTGATTACAATAATATTTACAGCCTCTCAAAGTTCCAACATGCTCAAAAACAACTTCAATTCTCTAAAAAAATGATTAATCAACGTAGGCAATTTTAATCACACATATCATTTTTTTATTCCCTTAAGACTACCTTGTGATTATACCGTTAATAATAATTTGAATTAATGGGTGGCGCTCGAATTTGTTCAACATGGCGAATAACAACCGAAACGAACGGAAACGTACATGGCGAACACAACAACAAACGGAAACTTTCCACGCTCGCCGGAATGTCAAGCCGGGAATTAATTACGCATGAAAAATGCACAAAACGAGCGGCGATAACACGCACGACACGCGACACAAATTCAACACGTTCGTTTTACACTATTACCCACCACACATAAAACTAGAATAAATGTTTGATTATGGTCATGTTATGCAACCCAATAGTCAATTTGCTATTGTGGGTTGCATACATTACACCAATTGTGTAAACCGTGCTATTCATCGAAGTTTAAATATTTATTTAATCGACGATGGTTGAACGCCGAGTGTAGAATATCGATGAAGTCGGGTTGAGGGTTGACATTTGATTGAATTTCTAAACTTGTGCATGCTAATCATTCGGATGAATACGCTATGATGGCGCTGTGGGTAACTCATGCGGAAAGTCAACATTAATGACATTATAGGGGTTGCTAAACGAACCGAATTATATTTAACTTCATTCCGAACACTTTAACCTTCAATTTTCAACTGAATTTCAACAGTTAACATTTAACATTTCAAAATATTATTTGAATTGAAAAGCAAAGTTTTTGTGTACTTTTGGTTGCCTATATTATTTTATGATGAGCAAAACATCAACATGGTTATAAAGTCTGCGATATTTGACATTTCGATATATTCTTGCGTGGGCACACATGTGGCCAATGTGGACGGACGAAAATATAGATCATAAATCATGTTTCATGTTTCGTGTTGTGGGATTACGTATTACGTACTGGGATTACGAATTTGCGATGGAATTGAGCCGCTGGCTCTGGTAATATTCGCCGGCGTTTGGTGGGTGTTGGTTTTTCGGCCAAAATTCGGAATATTTTGTAAATCCTATAAGTTGCTTGCAGGCGGGTACGTGATTTACATTTCGAAATTTATTGGCTTTGAGGGTATTTTACTACCATCATAAATTTTGAGATTTTTTGGTGGAAAACGTCTAAAATTCAATATCACCTAGGAATATATCATGAATATCAGAATGTATGACATGGGGTTAGAAAATGTCTCGTAACTTTTGAGTTTTTGCTTCGATTTTATTCTAGTTTTTGTTATTATGAAGAATATGAAATTCTTTATTGGTAGATATATAGATTTGTTTATAAAAAATATCAGAACTACCCCAAATTTTCATTTAAATATTAAAATAAGTAGATTTTTTCTATTTTTTGAAAATTTTATGTTATTTTGTATTTTTCTTCTTTAATTTTAACCTAAACTTAATTTTTGTGCATTAAAAACAATTTTATATTATTTAATATTTTGTATAACCCCCAAAAGATATTAAAACAACCCTAAAATGCTTTAAAAACCAAAAAATGATGAAATTAAAAAACACCTACAATAATACTCTTACTTATTTTATTTTTTGTTTATAAAATCAAATTTAATTATACTTTTATTATTTCACTGAGTTTTTCCTGCTAATTATTCCGCATGCAGAGTTTTCATTAATTAAAATCATCCGTTAACAACTTTATTATCCCTCTCTCCACTTTTCCCGCCTCACAAAAAGTCTTCTTCATCTATTAGAAGTAATTTCTCTCCTCGACGTGTAAAAAATTCCCCAGCTTTACTTCACTTCCAAGGAGTTTTTAGTCGCTTCAGTTATTTTCCATCATCATTTCCTATTCCGTTTCGTTCTCCCAAATAACTCCGTTCAGCGCCGTTTCCTGCAAATTCGAAACAAGTCGAAACTTGGCACGGGCGCAAAAAACTCGCGTGCGTAACGAAGTTTGTTTCATTAAGGGAGCAAAAGTGACTCCCGTCGGGGTTAAATGTGTCTATTAGGTATTCATGATGCCGACGGAGCGAAAATTTAAAAAAACTGCTCTAACCAGGTTAAACAATCTTTTTTTATGTAAAAAATGGAATCTGTTGCTCGAATTCCGGGTAAATTGCAAAAAAATAAAATTTCTCGTCGAACTTTGTGATTTTTATCTTTTTTATCTACGGCAATGTGTTTTTTACGAGCAAATTTTCCCAATTTTATGTGTATCTACGTTTTGCGCTTACTGGAGAGTGGAGTTTTTGTTTTTATTTAGGGATATTGTTTCGAGTTTCGGGAATACGAGTATTTCGTTTCACTTTTTTTACGACTGCGTGGGAGATGTCCCGGGACAAGTGTAAAGGATATTTAAATTTCGGCTAGGGCTCTTTCGGCTCTCACATTTCATGGATGACAAAGTAAACATGTAAACAAAGTGTTTAAATAATGATCTACTAGGCTGGCAACAGGTTGACTTCATTGATAAACTGATAGAACTGTCTTAAAACAAGTGTTGCATAGCTAAGAGCAGAAAATAATGTAAAATAAGTTGCCTATCAAGTTTAAATCATAAAAATTATTAAAATAATGATAATTTTCTACTTCCTCCTTTAAAACGCCGGTGTTCCACGGTTTTTAGACACAAAAGTGATACTTTAATCACGGAGGACCAAAGTCGTGACTAAAGTACTTTAATCACAGGTATTAGTCACAAATAAAATTTCAAATACAAATCAACTACGTGGAAATAGAGTGGAAGTAGAAACAAATAGCGAAAGCAACACGAGGCTAAACGTTGTTAATCATTCGATTGATTAATCAATCTCGTGACTAAAACTGAGATTAGTTACTTGATACTTAATATACTATTATTTAATGAAACTTAAGTATTAGAATATATAATAAGTAATTATTTATTAAATGTTAGGTTTATTCTTATTTCAATATAAAAAAATATCAAAATCTTGCAAAATTGTTAATGTAAAGCACCACTTCATTACCTACTAACATCTCCATTAAACTTTAGCACTTATAACATAAATATTTAATATGAATATTACTATTACTGAACTTATAATGTTTTACTGATAAAGCTTGTAAATTATTCACTCGAACAATCTTCATTACATTACATTCAGAACAAAACTTTGACACAAAAAGCTTCAAAGACATTAAAGCATTTATTAATGAGCATGCCGTTCAAGGACAATGGACAATTATAAAGTCGTTAAAGTTCAGTAATGTGAATTAAACTTGAAGCCGTTTAATTGTCCTTGATATCACTTTTGAAACATATTCCTACTGCAATCATTTGCAATTTATTTGCAAATTTTTATTTAATATTCTCTTTTTTATAACCTAAAATAGAGCATGAAACGCGGCTAAGGGTGACGCTCTCTGGCTTTTAGTTAAAATCCACGTCGGAGGACTGCGCGGGATGTAATAACTTTAATAAAACTTTGCGTTTTGCACTCCAGCCGGAAAGGAAAATACGTCGACGTGAGCTTTGTGCGCCTCTTGGGGTTGTTTAACGTTTTAACGTTTATGGCGTTCACGGTTCGTATGTCATTATAAAACCCAGCGAAAACAGAAAAAGCACTCAATTCGTGTTTATGTTTTGAGGTTACGGTTTAGAAAACATAGACAACCCAAAACACACTTTTTTCAAAAGCATTATTACGAGTAATTACGTCACGTTTCCAACTTCCGATGTAGTTTACTTTGTTCTTCTTCTTCGTAAACGTGACACAACTAGTAATAAGCAATGCGCCAATACGAGCCGATAATGTCAAATGTTAGACGTAACGAAATTGGAAACGTTGCGGAAACTTTGCCCGAAGATTTGTTCTTCTGCCAACCGCAGCGCACACACGCGGATAATACAAATTACAAAGGAAATTATTGAAATTTCATCCCAAAGCAAATTCAATTTATTTCTTGATAATTGCTTTAATGCTTCAACATCAAACGCATTACAAAGCGGATTAATTTGTTTTTTTGTGTGTGTTTATGTGGAAAAATGAAGTATAGGTGAACTTTGACCTTTATAAATGAAAATCCACCTACATAATTTCCACATTTCCACATTTCCACCCCACGATGGGAACACATTACGCCTACGTGCACTGTACTTATGCAGGTGTACTCGTATTTATCATAATTTGCGGTGACAGTCAATGATTTCATATTTATATGATTCTACTAATACATTATTCATGTTATGAGAGTTGTGAGAGATTTATATTATAAATAATAATAATATTTCGGTATTTACGTGTCTATTAGGCAATATTTCACGGAATTTAACCATTTTTTGTACAAAAAACTGTAAAAACTGCAAACTGTCAAATGCAATTTTATGTTATTTTGGTTGCATACGTTGTTTTACTCACAGTGTACCATGTCACGTCCCATGTATTAAATTAGGTAATGGATTTAGTTAGAAGTAGATGGCGCTAGAAGAAAGTCAAAAGTCTAAACATCGTTGTATCAGTCCTATTCGCGTAATAAAACTATTTTTGCTTGTTTAGTTCTTTAGAAATTTAATAATCTAAGTGCAAAAGCATGTAGGATGTTACAATGTTATTAATTACTCTTTGTCTGCCGCGATCGACGTGTTATTGATCAATCAATCTACCTACCAAGCAACCTTCGAAGCCTGCCAACGCATATTGACGCATTCCGCCGCTTCATTAATGCACAATTAAAATGCAAGTGTAACACATGCGCTGCCTGCGTAATACCGGTAGAAATTATAACTGACGCCTTCATTTATTTATTAATTTATAAGTTTGACATTTTATTTTATTTTTTGTTGTTGGTGTTGTTGATAATATTACAATAATACATGCAGTTTTGTTATTTTTATTAATATTTTAGTTCTGTTACAATGCACACATTGTTCGTTTTTATTTATTTATAATTTAATATCAATATAGAAGTGTGTTTTCTTTATAATTTAATTTTTCTGTTTGTTTGCGCAAGCGACCAGTAGAAATACGTAGCACTAAAGTAAATTGAAGATAAACAGGTTTTTACTTGGAATTTTGTAGAAAAAAACGCGAAGAAAAACATAAAATAAAACGAGTTACGCGAATAACCCTATCTTTTACAATTTGTTTCGAAAATAACCCGCCGACGGATGCACACCTGCCCCTGGACGCGTAAAGCGGAAAGCCGGAAAGTGGAAAAGGCGACGTGAAAGCGAAACATTTGGGAATTCTACTCGCGCGTGACGCGAAGTGAGAACGAAATGAATAAAACACGCGCCGACGCTCACACGTTCGCCATTTTGCGTTTTAGCAAACACACAAACACAAACAATTCCCAAACAAACACCGAAAACAAGAATTAACATTACAAGTAAATAAAATGGCCGCGCAACAAAAAAACAACAACACTGTTGATTCTTACCGCAACGACAAACGCGTGAAACTCCCGCCGCATTTGTGTTGTGTTGCGTTGGTGGAAATAAATGAAACGCAAACCAAATTACGTTTTCCATTAACTACCCTCGTAGTGTCTACGGTCGGGCGCCATTCATGACTCGCAACATGGCCACACCGGTGCATTACGTCTAATGTCCCAATGTAGATTACTGTAATTTTGAAAATAAAAACATTTACCATCTAAAAGCCAAATATATGCAAGTCATTTAAGTTTAAGGTTATGTTATTCATATATGTATGAAATTAGCACAAGTTGACTTTCGGCCATCTTGCAACCCGGGCAACTTTAATATCCTACTGGTTTAATCCAGCTAAATTTAGTTAAAACTCCCTGCGGACACACGTGAAGCAAACTTTATTATCCGGACGTCACGCAGCGTTTGCAATTAAGTATCCGACACAGCGTCAAACGAACTGTGAACTCATTCAACAGTTTTATTCGCAGTTAACAAAATTTTAACTTCTACACAATGTAGCCTGGGTGTATAAAGTGTTGCCTAGCATAAAGATACACAACGCGATAAACAAAAAAAAAATACATAAATCGTGTGTGGTGTGTGTGCGGAATTAAAAAAATAACAAAAGCCGCAGGCGTAGGTGTACATACCGACGCGGTTATCAATTATTCAGGCCGTGTGGTTTATTGATTTTTCTTTTATCATACTCACGGTTCGTAGAAAATAAATAACAAAGTAGGACTTGATTGTATCAACATGATATAACTTGGAATGTGTTTTTGTTGGTTATGTTGCAGTCGGTGACGCTTGCCACCCGTACGAGCCGTTCAAGTGTCCGGGCGACGGCAACTGTATATCGATACAGTACCTCTGCGACGGCGCGCCCGACTGTTCGGATGGTTACGATGAAGATTCGCGTCTCTGCACGGCTGCGAAACGCCCGCCGGTTGAAGAAACGGGCAGTTTTCTCAAGTCATTGCTCGCTAGTCATGGCCCCAATTATTTGGAGAAGCTTTTTGGTAGTAAGGCGCGTGATGCGCTCAAACCACTCGGCGGCGTTGACAAGGTCGCTATTGCTCTCTCAGGTATGCAACCAAATATACATATAAGTTAATGTTATGCTATAGTTTTGTTTTGTGTTGTTATGTGTAGAATCTCAAACGATTGAAGACTTTGGCGCAGCATTACATCTGATGCGTTCCGATCTTGAGCATCTGCGTTCGGTTTTCATGGCGGTGGAGAATGGTGATCTCGGCATGTTGAAGTCATTGGGCATCAAGGACTCCGAATTGGGCGATGTGAAGTTCTTCCTCGAGAAGCTGGTGAATACCGGTTTCCTGGACTGAATGCTCGCCGACCCTGCTGTCACCGCCAACCGCCTCTTCTTCGCCCACCCTCTACCGCACGCGCCCCTCAGCAAGGACTTCTACTCGTATCTGCCGTACGACGCGGCGCGTCCCATCTACCGGCGATGAGAGGTAACATCCCATAAATGACATAACCTACATCTTACTCGCTTCCGGCAGCAGAGTCCTCTGAAATCCGTCCCTTTCCACTTCTAATCCTTAGAGAATGAGAATGAGAATGAACACTGAGAGCATCAGTGCAAACAAAATGGCGGTCCGCGTCTGTCTCCGCGCATCGTCCAATCAGCAATCAGCAAAACAAAAGATTTAAAAATCGAAACATATCAATATTTATATGCATTTATGGCATTTTAAATGAAACTAACAAGAAAGACGTGAAAGAAACACATATTAATTGTAGATTGTAAGCAATTTTGATTCTATACCAACACAAACAAAATCGAACAACATATCATTAGTATTAGCGTATAATATTCTTAGAAAATAAAATCTTCAATTAAAATTAATCATCAAGATAAAGACAAAAAACAAAACCATCGACGTGTAAAATATGAAAAAAAAAGAAGTGAAGAAAAGGTACGACGGACAAAAGAGGAACAAAAAATGAAACAAAACGACAACGGAATAAAAAACAAGAAGAAAATGAATTCGGGCGGCACTAAAATATAACAGAATTGCAATGTATGCAACCCAATGTGCAGCATAATGCGTGGACGCTAACTGATCAGTCGCCGTTTGACTACAAATCAAAATCGTACGCGTTGGATTGCTTTTTTAGGGCCTTGCGCATCCAACTCACACGATTTTAACACAGACAAAATGGCGATTGACCAGTGTGACAGTATCAAACATTATACTATTGTGATCTCTTGATGTACATACATATCTACGTGGATTTCAACAAAAATAGATTAGTATAGCATCTTTAGAGGTTAGAGGTTAGGTGACACTGCGTGTATCGGTGCGTGAATGCTGCAAGACACATCTATATGCAATTGATAACGACCTGACACATCACAAACAAGTGCTGGATGTGTCTTCCACCTGCAACCCACCGTACACCGCACCACTGAAACAAAGAATGACAGTAACTGTACTTGTACAAAACCAAAGAAATACAATCAGAATAAAAACAGGAAAACCTTTGAAATAATGCACAATCACAGCGTGAACAACAACAAAGTCAATACATATTGAATAAAAAACCATTAATTGGAAGAGTAAGTCGAGAAACAAACCAAATGGCGACGCAACGCGATGAGAATCACAGATGAAAATAAATCAATCTTTATTATATGAACGTAACTTAATGATAATGATGCATAACAAAATATATTATAAAGAAATATTGAAGAATATATTGAAATATATAAAGAAATATATAGAAGATGCTAAGAATATATTTTTTCGACTCGTAGTGGAGCTCTTTGTGCCCGGTGTGAGCAACATTTCCGACTATGATGCAAATGATGACGAAAAGACAAGAAATTATTAATTAAATGTTATAGATGTACATCACAATACATATCTATCTCTATTTTACAAGAGAGGCTGGGGTTTCAAACTTGTAAACATCTCTAATCTATATCGCATACATATCAGTGCAAGAATTTTCGTTGAATTGAGAACAAAATCTATAAATTTGAGGTTAGAATGGAAGGATTAAGATTAATTAAGTACATAAATTGTTTATTTGTTATGTGAATTTTTCAAATCAATAAATATATGAACCGAAACAGTAAATGCATATTTCCAGATGATTTTCAGATGATAGGCAACCAAATATACACACACGCTGGTTTTATTTTTATTTTTGAACGATATTAACATTCTGCGATATGTTGCGCTCGTTTAATTGGCTCATTTATTTCATAAGCTTATATTGCGCGATGCCCGCGCTGAGATAACGACAATAATATACTGAGTGTTGGAAAAAATTGTTTTTTGTTTTGAGTAAATATTAATTTTGTTTGTTTGGTTGCCTTTTGATACACTTTGTATATTAATACTTAGTGTCTGCTTTTGTTGATGTTGGCGACTGAGGTAGCTATGCAGGAATCTCTCTGGGTTTTAGTGCGCTGCAGCCGCTGCAGGATTGTTGTGCTTGTAGATATTCGCCTGCTTTTCAGTGCCTGCGAAGATTTATCGACGCGTGTGCGGAAATGCCGCGAGTATAAAATCGCATAATGGATGCGACGCATCGGCGAGCGCATCTCGCGCATTTTTCAAATTCGTCTTCAATTCATCTTTGCACTTCGGAACTTTGCGCCGAGGATGGTTTATTGCCGTTGTGGACGTTTAGTCAATGATATATTGGTAAATTATTGACAAATTTTATATTTATTGTGGTTAATAACCTGCAAAATATTAAAAATCATTTTTAGTACTTTGAAAACACGGGTTTTTAAAATGCGGATATTTTATAAACGATTTGAGTTATTGTTATTTTCTTTTTTGTAATTTGTAGCTAAAGAGTTCCTTTTTAATGTTAACTAAAGTTTATTAATTAAATATTGCCAAAAATTATCTTTAAATTCAATTAAAGTTGAAATGAATATTTTTGTGAAAATAAAAAAGTAAACTTATAAAACACTCGGTATACAATAAACTACATTTATATTTTAATCAACTAAATTGCATCTGGTAGCCAATGAAATTATCTTTCAGTTACATTTTATTCCAAACTTGTAACTTTTTGGGAACTACTCTAAAATTAAATTTAAATATGACTAATTAATAAAGTTTTTAAAATCGCGAAAATGCTGGAAATTGTCATATAAAAACTAAACCAACAATTAAATATTAACTTTCTCAACAAAATTAATTACCTAAAGAGTCTATTTATATACCCTACACATTTCAACCCTTAATTCCATCAATAAATGCCCTTAAATTAATTTTAAACACTCTGCATTCTACAAAAACACTAGTTCTGTACACGTGTACACGTGGATGCCTACCGTTATAATTTATTGTCTTCCGAACGCTCGAATAAATATTATTCCTGCGCGAACTCGTATAGATTGTAGATTATCTCCCGACAGCGCGTCTCAATCAAAGATGATTTACAATTAGCGTAAAACGCGTGCGCTCAAGCGGAACATCAACATATTCGTCGAGATTAATGGACGCTGTTAACGAAACCAAGGCAGTAAGCACGAACATAACCACAATCCACAAATAGGTGCAGAAAACGATCAAAATGGGCGCGGATTTAATAAATTTTAACAAGTTGATATAATCTTTTAAATATTTTCAGTTTTTAGTCATTTTTGCTTTGTTTCTCCTCGTTTTTAACATATTTCGGTGGTGGCGGTCTGTCAAACAACTCTTGCAAGAATTGCAACACCATGTAGAAGACGTACATGCCAATCAACCATAATGCAACACCAAGGACAACAATATCGATCAATAAATACTCGAAAATGATTAAATCAGCACTTAGGGACCGGATGTGTTGTCCGCCATGTTTCATCGCGTATTCCGTCCAGTATACAGCTGCGTCCAATGGCGGGATGAGTCTATCCTTGAATATATTCGACAGTTTTACTGCGTGTGTTTTATATGTCTCGTTATTCATAACTGTATTGATGGCGTCTTGGAAATTAGTCGCGTCCAAGTAGCTGTAGTCCAATTGGACGCCCGCCATCTTGTCGACGTAGTTCTTGACATTCACTTCTTGATGCGGATGGAACGGCATGCCTATTATTGGTGTTCCACAGTACGCTGCTTCTTGGATACTCAACAATCCACCGTGAGTGATGAAAAGTTTTGTGTTTGGATGACATAACACGTCTAGTTGTGGAAGAGTGTCTGCGATGTAGACATTTTTAGGTTGTGTGAGGTTATCCAAAGCGTCCTTGGGGAGTTTCATCACTACGTTTTGTTTCAGAGTGGAAAATACTTGTAGAATTGTTTTGAGACTTTCCGGCGAGAAAGTTTTCATGTTGATTAATGTACCCATGCTGAAGTAGACAACGCCATCTTGTGATTTCTCAACAAACGTTGCTAATTTCTATAAAATTTAAAATGACATATTTTAGGGTTAGAAATATTTTATTTATGTTTTATTACCTCTGGTATTATTTGTTTAGGCGCGTCAATATGCATTCCACCAATTTCAATAACACCCGGTACTAAGGGTCGTGGATCATCCAAACTAAAATGGCGGTTGGCAAGTAATAACATTGTGTCCTTCGCAATGTTTTCAATAGGTGGCATGTCACCAAACACTTCCCGACCACGAATCTCCGCTGGTAATGTTAAAATTACATGATACCTAACAAAACATGTTTACTTTTCATTATATGCAACCCAAAATACACTTATGTCCTACAATAACCTACCATGCTTTCGATGCGATATTCATCATTGTACTGAAACACTTTTCGACGAAATTCAACTTTCCGCGTAGTGGTAGAAAATAGTTTGGTATATACGCTGGATTATCAGGATTACCCATGCGTTCATCCGCCCATGGCATGATCCCCGTGCTCGATATTCCAATTATCGGCGCTTTGTAGATATGCGCGTATGGTAGCAGACAATCAGTGACAAACATCTCTGTGATCACAAGATCATATTGCTTTGATGGTGTTTTCAACTCTTGTATTAAGGGATGTTTCAATACAGACGTACACGCATCGTTACCCATGTTTGCAAACTCCAATGCATAATGCACTATAGTCTTCCAATCGTGATCGGCAATCGAGATGTTATTTTCTAACGTAGGCATAGACCCCGCGACACTCAGCTCATTGAAACTAAAACATATGCAACCAGTTTTACATGTATGTTGTTATGAGGGTAATATAAGTACTTTTTGATGGTTTCACCACTGGGAAAATGTGTGATTACGTCGACTGTGTGTCCGCGGCTTGATAATGCGACGAGCAGCTTTTCATAGAAAACATAATGGCTGCGAATCGGCACAGGAAATAAACCAAGTATACGGGAACCAATTGCGCATGAGCAGAACCCAAGGGTGAGGAATATTAACACTGCATTACTTCGCATTCTTAAAATATTTCTAATTATTGATTTGTTTGTGTGAAAAGTTGAATTTTGTGTTTTACGTGTTAATCAACCGATGACCAACAGCGCAACCGACCAATTCAAGGAGAAATTTCGAACTGAGCGATGCTGAATTTATCTGTGACCCACCGACGCATTACTCAAGGTGTGTAAGCATTGTTCCTCGGTGCATGTTAATTAATTAGTTCTATATTCGTAATTGCTCGTAATTTCCTTTCAATGATATGAATTATTACGATTTTAATTTTAAATTTTATTTCCTACACAGTTAGAGATAATTTCTATGTAGGCAACCAAATGTGCATCTTATTAGAAGTGAATACAAAGTTTAGGTTGTGTTGCGCATGTGCCACATGCTTAACACCCGTACGCTGCGGAATCATTCTCGCGATACGCTTGGTTTACGCGGATTGTGGAGTTCGTTTCGAAAGGCAAACAAAACGTCGCGAATTCGTCGGCGTGCGCGCATTCGTCGAGCGCTCCCGACCGCGCTCAACTTTAGCGCTGGTGAATTTTTTCGTAAGTCGCTTGTGCGCGGTTCTATCGCGTTTGCGGTGCGCGGCGCGTTTAGTCGCAAGAAGAAGTCCTTCGTCGGCAGGTGAGGCGCGAGACGAGATAACGACCACGCGGTCGCGGACAAATGTCGTGAATCGTGGACGATCATAAACCAAGCGTGCGGTATCAGTGCGTATCATCTCTCATGGGTTAATAAAATTCGTGCGCGCGCGCCGCAAACAAAAGGTTTAATCGACGACGACGACAACGGCGAATAACAACTTTAACGATTGATAAATAATCGACCATTGGCCAAACAACCACTAGTTTTACACACATTCAATTTTATTTAGCAGGTAAGTCAAAGTTTTCTTAATAATATGATAATTTGTTATCTTGTTGTGGGTATTTGTTTATTTCTTAAGCAAAGATGTCGAAATCGGTGTGAAATGAAGCGAGAAACTTCATAAACAACTTGCAAATGTCACCATTTCTTATCCAGTATTGCACAAACTCTACAAACATCTTAAATATGTTTATTATTAACAATTAAATTAATAATTTTATGGAAAAATGTGTTATTTTTGAATTTACAGAAGATTTAATAATAAAAATCGGTAATTAAACTGTAATTAACATAAATTTAGTTTTTATGCATCAAAAATTGCTTAAAATATATAAAAAATTATTTATTTATGTTTTAAACAAAGATTTAGGTAAAAATAATAATTATTTTTAATTTTGCCAAAAAACAAGTAAAAGGTGTAAAAGGCAATATCACGCATTATTTATCGACCATTTCGAATATGTAAACAACGTAAAACCCATTGCAACTCAAATAAAAACATTAATTGTTATTAGTTTTACACCATATTTATGCGTTAAAATAATACTTTTACGAGTAAACTCTCGAAGTAAACAACCACAAAACAAAACGGTAAAGTTTCCTGAGTTTCACACTCGATTTGTTCGGTTTTCGTTGATTTTAATGATTCACATTGATATTCCAATAAAAACAGCGCGTTATTCGCACTTTTATGGACATTGTGTGGTTGTGTTTTGAGTCTGGTGTCTTGCAGCACATTAGTGAACGTTCGCGAACGATCGTGGGTGTCTGAAGCATTCAAAACTCAAAATAGATCAAAAGTATTTCATAAATATTTTTAATTTTGAATAATTTATTAAGAGTATTAAAAATATTAATATATTTTGGGAGATGTAGAGGAACAACAATGCGAAATAATTCATTGTTATTAATTTAGCAGGACGTTCTTATCACTATTTTATCACGTAATTTGCGCGCGTGACTTTTTTATTTGTGTGAGTGTTTTATTCGTGCGTAAAGTCGCTGGGTAAATAAAGTTAACGACGTAACGACATTAATTAAGTTAATATTGACCAGTAAAGCCGTATCCAAGGTGTATACAGAAAGATTTTATTTTAGATTCTACGTAAAACGTTAGGAAAAAGTTAATTACATGTAGAAATTTAAAAAAAATTATAATTTTTAGGTTAGAAATTAGATTTTTACAGGTAAAAACACCGAGATAGGTTAATCTAGATTATAAAATAGATGAAATAAGATTGTTTATGTTGTTTTTATTGTTTTTACGTTTAAAACACTGAAAAACTAACCTAAAATATGTTTATTTTGTTATTTTTATTCCAAAATCGTTAAAACTCAATTTCTATAACAAAGTTTTTGTCAACGTTTAGCCACGTGCTGCTATTTTAGTCATTACTTTAGTCACGACCTGGACCATCCGTGTTTAAAGTAGGACTTTTTGTGTCACAAAACAGTGGAAAAAGTGGCGCTTTAAAGGTAGAAGTAGAAATTGTTAATTTTATTGTTTTATTTTAATTGTAAATTTAGTTGTTACAAGTCAAATCAACGGTAAAAGGTCAATTTTAAAGAGAAAATTGAAGAACTTGAATAAATTTTGTTGTTTTTACGTTTAAAACAAAGAAAAACTAAGTAAAATATATTTTTTTGTTAAATTCAATTAAAAATTCCTGAAATTAATACAAAATTTCTAGAAAAAACTTAAATTTCCACTTTATTAATTGCATTTTTATTATTTTCAGAATAAATTCATCATTTTACTAAAAAAAATCTTTGTTTTTAATTGTCGTGTTATTATTTTATCAAGCACGTATGACCTGCGCACGCGTTTTAATTCATGTCACGTTTCAATTACTTGTATTATTGAAACTGTCGCAGAAAACATCGCGACTCTTGCACGAAGTGTTTACCTGCCGAAGTGCTGACACATGAAGATTAAGTACTCGCACTTGAATTAACACTTACTTAAATTATGATTAAATACGTGTTTAGACCCAACACGTTGCGTAAAACTAAAAAAATATGCGCAAAACAAACAAGTCATAAACGGAAATAAGCGATATTATTCTAATCTGAGTAATAGAAATTCGGTTTTGCGGTTAATTTTGATATAAATTCGTCAAAATAATGTGTATTAATAATTATTCCGGATGTTGATTAATAGATTTTGTTGAGTATTCAAGTTTAGGATGTGTTTTGTTGTTGGTATTGAGTTTGGAGAGTGTGTCGAGGACAAAGGGAGTTTTCTCGACAGGAAAACTAGGGCACGACCCACTGTCGAGACCCAGACCCTCGATTGACCCAATTAAATCTAGAACTTTTTGAAATTCAACCCCAGTTTACTTGGGGTGCATATTAAATAAGCAATTTGTTTCATATCAAATTTTATACATGACCATATCCTTATTATTATTATTATTATATTAATATTGATAACTAGCTTTTGCCCGCGACTTGATCCCGGTATTGTTAAATAAAAATGTAATTTTTACTCTCTTGTTCTAGACATAGAATGTGTTAATCGTATCAATAAGATTCGCAATTTTATTTTAAAGAAATTAATTATATAAAGAATTGCTAATAATGCACTTCAGCGCGCCATCTCGGATTCAACTATTTAACTATAACGATGATTGAATCTCAATGCCAACTTTTATCTTATTGAAAAGAGCTGTTTTAGGGTTTTCCGGCAATTATTCGAATTTTTCTTGACGTAATAACCATCCTTGGACTTTAACAAACATTAAAATAAAGAATTAGCCAAATTGGTCTACGCGTTGTGGAGTTATGCGCTTTCCAACAGATTTTGCTATTTATTTTTATATTATAAATTGATGATATTTATTTCCTTATTTTTTCTTGTTTGAAGTTGTAATTCCGGGTGGGTGTTGATGAGCTAGACTAGGCTAGAGAGTTAGTTTGTGACCTAGCTAATCAACAAATTGTACAAATTGTGCAAATTGTGCAATTCCGTGTAATCGCGTGCGTTCCCAGCCTGGTAATCCGCGCTAATCACTGCTAATTGAATATCCAGCGCAGACGTGAACGCCACGCAGAGTTTGTTATCTGTGCGGCGGCAGCGAGCGAGGAAGTTCGTGATTTTGCGATGCGAAAATAGGAAATAAACACGTGGAAAGCTATATTACTACCTGAAACTAACAAATTGTTTATATGAATATAAAGTTTTTTCTAATTTTGTGCAATACCTGCAATTATAAACCATATACATGTTTCAAATCGGAAACTAATGTTATATTGTTGGTTATTTTTTATTTTTACGATTTTATTATAATTTATTATAGAGAATTTCCCGTAGATTATAATTCTTCAATCCGTTCTTCTCTATAACTTTTAGTTTCCGAGATATTCGCAATTGAAAGAACTGTGAAAAATGTGCAAAAAAATTTTAAAAATTCTCAAATTTGTAATTTTGGTCACGTTTTCTGACCTTTTACTCCATGAAATTTATACATTTTATTAATTTGTCTTTTAAAAATTTTCCAAACTTTCATGGTCTTCTATCCATTAGTCTCTATCTCTCTTTGTTTAGAAAATATTCGCTACCGAAATTACTTAAAAAAAACTTGTAACACAACACATTTGCAACATATTTTTCGATAAAAATTAATTTTTCCTTTATTAGATTTCCAATAAAAGTTGCTAATCTTATAGAGAATTTTTCGTAAATTAAGTATCTTCAATCCGTTCCTCATTATCACTTTTAGTTTACGAGATAATCGCAATCAAAATATCAAAAAAACAAATTATTCGCTAATTATAAATGACTTTCAGTAAAAATCTGAATATAATATGCAATGTTTAATGCTTTCTCATTATTCACGTCGTACGTTATCATTTATTTATATTTTCTATGAAAGCACAGTTAATAAATAATTCGTTTGGCATTCTTTCCATCCTTCCAAAGCACACTCTCTTTCGCTTTGCAGCAAACGAATCGTTCATGAAAAGCCTTTCACAGTTCGGAATATCCAAAGCAAAACGTCGTCGCTAAGCAATCCAAGAGTGAGTTACAGCCGAGACAAGTGAAGCACAAGCGAACGAAGCGAACACAGTTAGAATATACGATTTTGCAAAATCATCTCGTTCGTGTCATCTCCTTCAATTTAACATTCCACATCGTACCGCATCACGCATTCTTCCGATTCGTTTCAATCTCTTCTCTCTGCTTTGGCGTGTTTCATTTGTTTGCTACAGCAATGTGCGCCGAGCAAGTACAAGCACTTAATGTACGCTTAATACTGAATGTTCATGGTTGATCCATCTGCATGCGTTCGCTCATTGTTGGGTTTAGAGATGATGTGCGCGATTCATTTTCGAAAGGAGCGCGCACAATGCGCGCAATACGAACCGTTTCAATTATGCGGCGATGGGCTTTCAATTTTTGCGATTTGCCGAGTGGAAAAAGGCGAAAGAAACAATAACGGCGGCGGACGCGATTCAATCGATCGGCATTGTTACGCATAATGTAATAACGCATAATAGCACAACATGTGCACAAAATTAAATTTTAAAATTTTACACTTTCCAACTTTGAAACATGAAATATTAATATTAATTTCAGATAAAAATGTATATTCGAATGTTAGAAGAAAGAAAAACGTAATTTTGGAGATATTATTGGTCTAATTTATATATTTTTCTACTTCCACCTATACAGCGCCAGTTTTTCATGGTTTTGAGACACAAAAATTCTACATATTTCTGTTTTATACACGGACGATCAAGACCGTTACTAAAGTGCTTTAGTCACGCACTTTAGTCACGGGGTGGATCAATCTCGTGATTAAAACGCCCGTTTAGCCACTTGATACTTAATATACTATTTTTGTCTTATTTTGGTTTGTTGTCGCGTCTTTATGTTTGGTGTTGCGTGTGACGTCATAGTTGAGTTAACAAATTGCTAAACTTGATGTTTACTGCATTTAATCTGCAGAAAGAACGCAATTTTAGTCAAATACAGCAAAGTTTCTATTATTTCTGACTTTAGTTTTA